GCAAACCTCAGCCCAGGCACTGCAGTTCTGCTAGGCCCTGTCCTCACAGCTCCCTATGCACCATCCACAGGTGGCCCTCCCCCTGGCTGGGTGCGGGACCCTCGACTGCCCCCGTGCACACTGCGCCAGGCTCTCACCTTCTTCCTGGACATCACCTCCCCACCCAGTCCTCAGCTCTTGCGGCTGCTCAGCACCCTGGCAGAAGAGCCCAGGGAACAGCAGGAGCTGGAGGCCCTCAGCCAGGTTGCCCGCCCCCCCCCCCACCAATGAGGCACAGGGGCTAGAGAGATGGGATGAGTTGGGTGGGGGCCCCAGCGGCAGGAAACCCCCATGCAAGACCCTCCCTAGACTTCCTTCTCCTGACTGACGTGCACTGGTGCTTTAAGACGCAGCTCCCCAGGGAGGAATTCACACCTGGATTCTCCAGGTCTTAGAGAAAGCTCTGTTGGCCTGAACTGAGGAGGGAGAACCCCTAAGGAGGCTCAGCATGGGAGGAGTGAAGAAGGGAGGTTGCTAGGAAGGGCTATGGGACCCCTAACCCACTGCATCCTGCCCTGCCAGGATCCCCGGCGCTACGAGGAGTGGAAGTGGTTCCGCTGCCCCACACTGCTGGAGGTGCTGGAGCAGTTCCCTTCGGTGGCACTGCCTGCCCCACTGCTCCTCACCCAGCTGCCTCTGCTGCAGCCCCGGTACTACTCAGTCAGCTCAGCACCCAGCATCCACCCAGGAGAGATCCACCTCACTGTAGCTGTGCTTGCATACAGGACCCAGGGTGAGGCAACTGGCAGGAGCAGGCCTGGCCACAGCGGGGGTGGGACAGGCCCCTCTCCAGCCCCTCACCGGCCTCTCCTCCCCACCCCCTAGATGGGCTGGGCCCCCTGCACTATGGAGTCTGCTCCACATGGCTAAGCCAACTCAAGCCTGGAGACCCTGTGCCCTGCTTCATCCGGGGGTAAGTGAGATGGAGGACTCGGTGGGGAGCTGCCCAGGGCCAGGGTGGCAGCTTTGGCAAGGAGTGAGGAGTGTCACTGGTGAGGAGTGTCACTGGAAACAGAAGGGAGCTCTGTAACATGTCAAGCACGTGGTGTCGTTAGGTCACTTCAGAACCCTGGCTAAGCTTTGGCTCTCTCCTTCATTTAGACTCAGAGTTTTGCCGTGAATCTACAGCTCCCAGAGCCAGAGCTGGGATCAAACCAGCTGGCTCTGTGGCTTTCTGAAAGTGCAGTTTCTATGTTCCTCTCTCTGTCCCTGGGCCATCTGATATGGGGCTACGTGGCACCTGGGAACTACAGTCACTATATCCTCACTCCAGGGAGAACTGCTAGGTAGGATAAAGACCACCTTTGGCCTTGGTGTCACCGAGGGCTCAAAGAAGGTGAAGGATTTTTTTTTCTGGACACAGAGTCATGCTCTGTCACTGGGCTGGAGTGCAGTGGCATGATCTCGCCTCACTGCAACCTCCACCTCCTGAATTCAAGAGATTCTCCTGTCTCAGCCTCCCGAGTAGCTGGGATTACAGACACCTACCACCATGCCCAGCTAATTTTTTTTTTTTTTTTTTTGAGACAAGGTCTCTTGTCACCCAGGTTGGAGTGCAGTGGTGCAATCTCAGCTCACTGCAACCTTCACCTCCCAGATGCAAACAATTCTCCCACCTCAGCCTCCCAAGTAGCAGGTATTACAGGAGTGCATCACCACTCCTGGCTAATTTTGTATTTTTAGTAGAGACAGGGTTTCATCCTGTTGGTCTGGTCTCAAACTCCTGACCTCGTGATCCACCTGCCTCCGCCTCCCAAAGTGCTGGAATCACAGGCATGAGCCACTGCACCCAGCCGGAAGGTGAAGGATTTTAAGAGAACCTCCCTTCATGCTGTGTCCAGAAGTCTTGCTCCTTCTCACAGCCAGGAACCAGAAGTCCTGGTAGGACTGAGAATAGTTCCTAGACTGACATCAGCTGGGCCTGATGACTCCAATCCACCCAGGTGGCTAAATTACAGATAAACTGTACCAATCTACTGAACATAAACTAAATACCACTATTAAGGGCATTTAAAGTAAACACACTCAGTGAACCCATAATGAACTGAAAGTATGTCTTTCACTCTCCCCACATTTTCTAAATCCCCTGAGTCATCTAAGTAGTCTTCAAGCCAAAATGAACTATATTTCCTTTGGCACAATCTCCAGAAACTGCAGATCCAAGGAGTTTCAGCAAGCAGAGGGGTTTTTTTTCTTTCTTTCTTTCTTTCTTTTTTCTTTTTTTTTTTTTTTTTCCTTGAGATGGGAAGTCTCTTTATATTGCCCAGGCTGCTCTCAAACTCCCAGGCTCAAGCAATCTTCCCACCTCAGCATCCCAAAGTGCTGGGATTACAGACATGAGCCCAGAGTTATTTTAATAAACCCATCATGCTTACTATGAGCCAAACACTGCTTTAAGGACTTCACAAGTATCAACTAATTTATCAGGAGAGCTTGGGTTCTTCTCGCTCCACCCGCCCTGCATGGCGAGAACAGGGGAGCACAGAAGGCAAAGGAGACCTGACGGAGTATCTCTTCTGCTAGGGCTCCCTCTTTCCGGCTGCCACCCGATCCCAGCCTGCCCTGCATCCTGGTGGGCCCAGGCACTGGCATTGCCCCCTTTCGGGGATTCTGGCAGGAGCGGCTGCATGACATTGAGAGCAAAGGTGAGGCTGGGGACCAGAGGACTGCTTGGAGGGGTGTGGCTGGCAGGCAGGAAACAGATAGGAAAGAGAGGGCAGGAAACGGAGGCCACAAAGCTGAAAAGATGCTCATGAGATGGAAGGGAGGGGAGGTACTGAGGCAAGGGCTGGGCCCTGTGTGTCTGGCTGCCTGGTGCCTGGCACATAGTAGGTGTCGACTGGATTAAATTCGAAAAATCGAATTTTGGAAGGGATAGGGCTAAGACTCAAAGAAGAACTGCCCGAGGTGGATTCTGGACCATGCCAGAGCTGACAGGGGTCCGTCCAAGACCTAGGGATGCTCCAAGGTGTTCAGATTGAGCATGGAGTGCCCAGGGTAGTCTGTCAATCAAAAGAAGAGGGCTGTGACTGGGAGGAGAGTTAAAAGTATGGGAGAAGATGGAGTGGGAGCAAGGAAGGGGACTGCGATGTCACACAATGCAAAGGGCATAGAATTCCGAGTCCTAAGCAGCACACTCTAGCGCAGCTCCACCAGAGGCCACCTACATGAAGGAAATCACCACTTCACCTGCGCTTCCCTTCCTTCTGTAAATCAGGCATGTCCAGGGTCTCTGTGAAAGCATTCTGCAGGCTCTTAGAGATGAAACAGCCAAAGTAATGGTGGCTGCAGCCCAAAACGCTGGGCTGCCAGGCTGGGCAATGGTGGCCAGTGGGGAGGCACCGCTGGCCCTGTGCCCTGGGAGAAGGGCCTTCTGAAGCTGCTGTTGCTTGCAGGGCTGCAGCCCGCCCCCATGACTTTGGTGTTCGGCTGCCGATGCTCCCAACTTGACCATCTCTACCGCGACGAGGTGCAGGACGCCCAGCAGCGCGGGGTGTTTGGCCGAGTCCTCACCGCCTTCTCCCGGGAACCCGACAATCCCAAGGTGTGAGGCCCTGAGGGCGCAATGGTAACCTGAAGATAGGGAAAGAGGGGAGGACCTACCAGAGCCCTCCCGCGGCCTCCCACGACCACTCAGCCACCAGCACGCACTCCACCCACCCTCGTGCCCTGCCCCGCCCCCCAGCCCCTCCCCTTCGACACTGCCCCTCTAGACACCGCCCCAGGGGCACGCAGGCCCCACCTGGTGGGCTCCGCAGTCTTTCACACCCAGAGCCAGCCAGCCGCCCAGGGTGCGCCCCCGCACCCACCCCACCAGGACCCGTCCTGACCCCGCCGCCCTGCAGACCTACGTGCAGGACATCCTAAGGACGGAGCTGGCTGCGGAGGTGCACCGCGTGCTGTGCCTCGAGCGGGGCCACATGTTTGTCTGCGGCGATGTCACCATGGCAACCAACGTCCTGCAGACCGTGCAGCGAATCCTGACGACGGAGGGCGACATGGAGCTGGATGAGGCCGGCGACGTCATCGGCGTGCTGCGGGTGCGGAGGGGCGGGCCAGGGTAGGGACCAGGCCCAGGGCGTTCGGGGTTCCCGCTCTTGTCTCCTACTGGGGTTCTCATCCACTGCGCACTTTCCCGACAGGATCAGCAACGCTACCACGAAGACATTTTTGGGCTCACGCTGCGCACCCAGGAGGTGACAAGCCGCATACGCACCCAGAGTTTTTCCTTGCAGGAGCGGCAACTGCGGGGCGCAGTGCCCTGGGCGTTCGACCTGCCCGCCTCAGACACCAATGGCCCCTGAGAGCCGCCTGGCTTTCCCTTCCAGTTCCTGGAGAGCGGCGGCCGCACTCAGGTCCGCCCGACCAGGACAAGCCTCGCTCCTCCCGTCTTGAGGTGGTGCCTTCCCACATCTGTCCAGAGGCCGCAAGAATTCAGCATTATTTCACCAGGAAGGAGCAAAACGCCTCTTTCCCTCTCTAGGCCTGCTGCCTCGGACCCGGGTCCGCCTAAATCTGGAAGGCCCCTCCCAGCAGCAATATGCAGGGCCTACTGCTACCCACTTCCTGTTTCTTAGGTGAATGTTAGATTCCCCTTACCTTTCTCAGGAGTATCTTACCCGTAAAGCCTAATCTCTAAATCAAGTATTTATTATTGAAGATTTAAGAGACTGTGTCAGATCTTACGAGAACTACTAAAGCACCTAACCCAGCCCATGCGGATCACAATTATAAAATGACAAGATTTAACCCGTGCAGTTGTGTTGGGGGCGGGGAGGGGAAGAGATTATTGTTTTGACAGGGGGTCCTGCACTCCACTTGACCCTGCACTCTAAAACGTGGTTTCCAGCCAGTCTGGGCAGCTCTCCCGTGCAGGTCTCAGGCTCGTGATGGAGAAAGCAGGGGCAGCACTCAGCTGCCAGAAGTGGGGGCTGCCAGAAGCAAGAGTCACAGAGATGTGCAACAGCCATGAGCGAGCTTTACTGCTTATTTCATACAGCGCAGGGAGCCAACCCACTCCCTCAGATACCACCCCCATCCCCTGCAAGCCCCCAGGAACCTGAAAGTGCTGCCGGTGGCCACCAGCACAACGAATCCACGGCCTTAAAGCCCACCTGCCTCACTGTTGCCCTTCCATTTAGCTCGGGCTAGTCCTTGACCTCTGTCCCCCACCTGGAGGAAACTCGAGGACTTCTTCCCAGGCAGCTGCTCCAGGACACGCTGCAGTTGCGGGTGTGTCCCCTTCTCCCCTCCGGATGGGGACCATCTCTAAGACTTGTTTCCAGTTGCCCTCGGCATCTCCTCTCCTACCTTTTCTCTGTTCTCGGGGCGAGTTCCTCACTGACTCCCAGGTCCTGCCCCACTAAAGCACCTGGGCCTGTCATCTATGGGGCTTCTAGTGATGGCTCCATTGTTCTTCTACTCCACCCTCCAATCTCCTGTGGCTGCAGAAGCCAAGGCGCCTGTGGGAGGAGAAGGCTCTTGGCAAGCAGTCTAGGGTTCTAGGTTCCAGAGATGACCGCCCCCATCACCCTGAATGCCCATCACCACTCCCATCCATTCAAGTCTGACTCTAAACCAATTGCCTCTGCAGCCCTGTCTCCCTCCCCACACAGGAGGCCACACTGACCCTGAGGAGTCCTCTCAGTCAGCAAGAGGCCTGGCCAGGCTCCTTCTGGGTGTCTCTGGTCACCTGAAACCCTCTGGAGAACAGATTCAGGGCCCTCTGGGTTCCCCACTGTTGTCTGGGGCTGGAGGCAGGACTGGAGCCTGGTGACAAAGGCCATCAGCTGGGCAGTGCCAGGATGCCCAGTGTCCGCCAGGCTATGCCGCCTGCAGGCCCCACCCTCCTCACCATCACTTGACCAGGATGGCTTCTCCTCGTCAGGCGAGGGTGGCTGTGATGGGCTGGAGCCGGGCCTCGACAGGTCGGAGACCGCAGCCTCGCCCCACGGCTCCTGCTGCTGCTGCTGGTGAAGCTGCACGGAAGGGAGGGGGAATGAGGGCCGCCCCCAAGGAGGGCAGGGCCCCAGAGGCAGAGGCTTTTCACCTTCCTCCTGTGGCTGTGCTAGGCCCTCCCTCAGACTCCACCCCTGCCTCAGTCTCCATGTCGGTCACCTGCTTTCTCCCCACATCTCTCCTTCCGGCACCCTCCGCTCACCTGGTGCAGGTAGATGGCATGGAGACTCATCTCAGCAGAAGCAAGTTCTGGGAGCTGGGCCAGCTTCTGGCCCCCAGTGCCTCCTGGGGACACACAGCTGGAACACAGCATGAAGCAGGTCAAAAGACACACCCTCCTCCTGCCGCAGCCCAGAGGGCTTCCCTTCTGAATCCCCCCACAGTGCCCCAGCTCCTCCCTCCCAGAGGATCAGCCCCACCCCCCACACCCCTGCATCTCAGCCTCCACTCCTCACCTGGAGTCCTGGGCAATTCGGGAAATGGAGGCAAGGAGGCTGGCTGTGGCCGCAGCGGGACAGGGGGCTGTTGGGCTCAGGTCCCTCGGGGGCAGGAGAGGGTGCACCAAGAGATTGGCCAGGAAGGCCTCAGGCTGGGCGAGAGAGGGAAAGAAAAGCCAAAGAGGGAGTCAGAAGAGAGGACAGGAAGGGAGTGGGGAGGAAGGGAAGGCCTAAAGAAGGCAGGAGAGCAGGCTGGGGGTGGGGCCGGCGAGGCAGGTTACCACCCAAGGTGAGGCTAGAGGGGAAGGGGTTGGGGGGTGAGGGCCGAAGGGGAGGCCGGGCTTGGGACTCACCAGGGGTGAGGTGCAGTTGCTGAGCACCCCCGGGGTTGGGGGGCTGCGAGCCGAGGTGGCGCCCCAGGCGGCTGCATCTTGTTGTACCCGGCCCCGGAGGTGCCCAAGAAACTTGGAGCTGTGCCCTGGGGGTTGCCAGAGAGGATGCACCAGGGAGAACCGCATCAAAGAAAGCTCAGTCTTCCCGTCCTCCGCACGCTGAAACAGCGACGCCTCCGTCTGCCCCGCTGAGAGCCACTGCGAGCAAGGACAGTCTTTCAGGTGCTGAGAACATCCAGCTCACGGGGTTAGGTGGGGCAGGAGACAGGGCCCCATTTTCCATGTGAGGGAAACAGAGAGCATGATGGGGACTTGTTCACCATCACCAAAACCACAGCATGAGAGCAGAACCGGGGTCTAGGCCCAGCTCGGAGATAGGGCCGAGCCTCCGTGCTTTGCCCAGGGTGGTCTTGACAGCCTTGGTCCAGCCACCAGTCCTTGGTCCGGCCCCACCCACGGGCCAAGCCCATTCCTCGGCCCCCAGGGAGTTCTTAGCTCCCATTTCCTGATGTTACTACGTGCCAGCAGCTCCATTATGGGCTCCACAGACATTATCTATGTCATCACAAGCCTGGCCTAGGCTGTGCTATGGGGGGCACATTGCCATTGTCACCATCTGACAGACGAGGGCATGAGCACATAGGGAAGGGAAGTGACTCGCTTAAGGGCACAGGTGGCAAGCAATGGAGCCAGGGCTGGAACCCAGGTCTGCTCCCGAGAGGCAAGCAAAATCCCACCCAGCCCAACCCCACAGGGCCAGGGCAGGGCTCTGACCTGAGGGTGGCCATGGCGCTTCACATCCATGAGGGCAAAGGAACAGATGTCCCCAACCCCAGCCACATCCACAGTGAAATGATGAAAAAAGTCGATAATCTCCAGGGCACGAGGGCGGAACCAGAAAAGCAGAAACAACGGCGTGAGGAGCGGGGACAGGAGCTCCTCCAGGAGGGAGACCTGGGGAAGCAGCGGTGAGGCTGAGCAAGGGTCGCTGAGGGCCGGCCCCACCCGCGATACCAGGACCAAGCGGCCCCCAGCGACCCTGGCCAGGGCAAGAAGCCTCCCACCCAGTCACTCCCTGGACTCCTGGGGTAGCCCTTTTGCTTCATGGCCTCTCCCAGACAGACCCTCGGCGCAGACAGACCCAACTTCCTCCGCAGCCGGCCGCCGCGCGGACCCTCACCGCTCGGTACTGCAGCAGCTGCGCCATCTGCCGGTACGCGCGGTCCCTGCCTCCAGGGCAGGGCTCCTCCGGGAGGTAGTGCATGTGGGCCAGGGCCGTCTGCAGCAGGAGCTGCGGCGCACGACCCTGGCACTGCTCTTCGGGAACGAAAGACCTGATGGGCGGGATGCGTGGGGAGAAGGGGCCTGCGGTTAGGAAGACGCGCGGCGGGATGCTGGGCTACAGGGCCCCGGGGTGGGAGAGGTAAGGATTAGAGGGGAAACCTCACATGGCACCAGATCAGAGAAACCGTCGTCACACACCACCACCCCGGGCATCTGCCGTCGCACCTGGCCACGGTGGCGGTGACCCCGAGCGCAGTCATGGCGGTGAGCACGTGCTCCACGGCTAGCACGTCCTCGTCATAGACGGTGAGCACAAGCAGCGCGGCGAAGAGCGCGCCCGCGAAGAAGACTAGCTGGCGGGCCAGCAGCGCGCGCAGGGGCGCGGGGGGCGCAGCGGTGCGCAGGAAGGCGGTGGCGGGGCGGTAGGCGCGGGCCAGGCGCGCGCGCAGCTCGTGTGGCAGCTCGTTGAAGTGGCGCAGTTGCAAGCGCGCCAGGCGGGACCAGCGGCGGGCCCCAAGCGCCCCGGGCTCACGCCGCAGCAGCTCCACGTGGCTATAGAAGGCATGCAGCACCTGCCAGGCCAGCACCAACGGGCTCAGCGCCAGGTTCAGGGCGGCGAGCAGCAGCACTGTGCGCCCCCAGCGTGCTGCCAGGGCGCCCCGCTGGTCGCTGCGTTTGTAAGCGTGCGGCAGCTCCCAGCCCCCACGGAAGAGCGAGAAGGGACCGCGGAAAAGCAGCAGGTCGACATTGAGCGCCAGGCCGCGGCTGAGGAAAGTGGCACTGCCTCCCCAGGGCAGTGGGCAGCGGGCCGGCAGCAGGCCTTTGTTGGCCAGCGCCACTTGGTAGTTGGTGTAGCGCAGGATGCGGTGGTGGACGTCCAGCTCCGTCAGGGGCCGCGGCTGCACGCACAGACCCCCGCTCCTCTGCAGCGCCAGGAGACGGGACTGCACCTCTGCCCAGGGAACCGAGTTCAGCTCCTCCTGAAAGGGGAACTGATGAGAGCCAGAGACCCCCATTCTTCTCCACAGAAGCTAAGATGCTCAAGCTCCACATCCCTAAGTGCACGGCCTGAAAACCGGCAAACAGTTTGCGGCCACAAACTCACCATAGCCAAGTTACATCCCTCATCGTCCCCCTCTCCCACCTTTCCCGTTCTGCCCTCCCTTAACCCTGTCACTAACAAGGGCACGCCCTACTTCCTTCATCGTCTTCTAAATTGTCCTGTTCCTCATCGGCCCTGCCATTCATGTTGCCAGTAGTCATGTGCTTCCTGGTGATGGCTTCAGACGTTTGACCTGGCTTCTCAGATCCTTCAGAGCCTGAGGCCCTCTCAGTTGTACAAACAAAACAGAATAGCTGACTGGGGGTGGTGGCTCACACCTGTAATCCCAGCACTTTGGGAGGTTTAGGGAGGCAGATCGCCTAAACTTCAGAGCTGGAGACCAGCCTGGGCAACATGGTGAGACACTGTCTCTACTAAAAATACAAAAAATAGCAGGGCGTGGTAGTGTGTGCCTGTGGTCCCAGCTACTGGGGGCGGAGGCTGCAGTGAGCTGAGATCACAACACTGCACTCCAGCCTGGGTGACAGACCTAGACCCTGTCTCAAAACAAAACAAAACAAAAACCAGAATGGCCGGCAATCTGTGGGAGACTCTCTCCTTCCTGTTTCCAGTGCACCCACCAACTCTGGAACAAAATCCTTCCCACCTTCTGCCTGGGCATGCTTTACACCCCAAGCCCCACCCCACTCCAGTCCATCTTCTGCTCTGTCACCAGAAGCCTTCCCAGGCTACATCCATGTCTGGGGTGGGGCACCCTCAGATCTCGTGTGGATGCTGCAAACCTCATGTGAGCCCAGTTTCACTCAGCTTCCCCAGTCCAGGTTAGTCAAGTCCCCCAGGCCAGCCTCTCCAGTCCATCCCAGTGTCTCCCCTTCCCCTCCCCTGGAAGAAACAGGGAGGAGGGGAAAGAAGGGAGAAGGAGAACAAGACAGGTGAGCAGTCTCCAGCCAGAGCCGATCCGAGGTCCAGCTTCAGCTCTCACCACTTCTGCTTCCCTGACCTCCTCCCTCTCCCTTGTTCAGGGGCCTTCTAAGCTCTCTCCCCTTGCTGCACTGGAAGGCTGTGCAGAGGGCTCCAGACTTCCTTCGGGAGCAAGGGAAGCAAGCTGCAGAAGGCTACCTTTGAGTGGTGCCTTAAAGAACTCAGATACAGAGGAGGGAAGAGCAGCTCAAGACGGCAAGGAAACAAAGGGCAGAGTGGAAGCAGGGGACAGTGACAGGCCAAGGCAGTGGCTTGCCGCAGTGGGGGAATGGTGCCGAAGGCTCTGTTTTAGGCTGGTGGGTCCATCTCACTGCAGCTTCCAAAAGCTCATGGCTTTTCCCTACCCTCCTGTCCTGCCCACCCAAGCCCAACCCAAATTCCTCCAGCTCTGGAAAGCCAGATGACCACCCTTCCTCTAAATATCCAATGTTTTTAGCACAAACATGTGACTATATGTCATTTTCGTTTTTTTGAGACAGAGTCTTGCTCTGTTGACAGACTGGAGTGCAGTGGCACAATCTCAGCTCACTGCAATCTACGACTCCCAGGTTCAAGCGATTCTCCTGCCTCAGCCTCCCAAGTAGCTGGGACTACAGGCATGTGCCACCACACCCAACTAACTTTTGTATTTTTAGTAGAGACAGGGTTTCACCATGTGGGCCAAGATGGTCTCAATCTCTTGACTCATGATCTGCCGGACTAGGCCTCCCAAAGTGCTGGGATTACATGCGTGAGCCACCATGCCAGCCATGTCATCTTATATGAGCCACCTAAATAAACTCCCTTAGGGTGGGGCCATGCTCTCTAAGTGGTGGTAGCCCCCTCCCAACATTATTCTGGGCCTAGAGCAGGTGTCAGTAAGGCCTCGCTCTTTCTGCCCTCTTTCCAATGGGCTGTTTCATCTGTACAGTCCCACTTCTTCCCCCTCCTCTACCCACCCTCTCACGGCGCCCTCCACACAGATATAGGCACCCAGCTCACCGGGGTGATGTGCAGGGCCTCCCTGTAAAACACCTGGATGTCCCAGTAGCTGGAGAGGTTGCAGAGTGAGCGAAGCAGCTGCACCACCCAGAAGCCCGCAGCCAGGACCAGAAGGAAGACGAGCAGGGGGCTGGAGTGGATCCTGCATGGGGTTGGGTGGGCAGTGGGGGAGAAAGAAAGGTGGGCACCGGAGAGAGAGGGAGACCAGACTTCCGGGGTGAGGGAAAACCATCAGGAGGAGGGGATCCAGCTAGACCAGCAGCTCTCAAAGTAGGGCCTGGGGCGGGGGCTGAGGGGGCTGAAGTGGCCCTCACAAGTGTGCAAAGTCAAACTCTTTTCAAATGATACTAATGCTTTCTAATGTTTTCATTCTCATTCTCTCACGAGCACGGAGTTTTCCAGAGGCTACAGGACATGTGGACATGTCACATCATACTGGCAGCTGATGAAACGTGTGCTCGCACACTCTTACATTTTAAAGTTGTTCTCAGCTATCATTTCTTTTTTCTTTTTCTTTTTTTTTTCCTTTTTATTGAGATGAGGTCTCTCTCGGTTACCCAGGCTATAGTGCAGCAGTGGAATCAGGGCTCCTATCTACAGTTATCGATTGGTTGGCAAAGAGAACATTTCGAGGAAGACTGTGAAGGCAACAACGAAAATGCGTCGTCTGCTGAGAGGGAGGAGGGTGGAGGGATCCTGCAGTGATCAGAGACAGTCACTGCCCCAGGCTCCTGAGTAGTTAGGACTACAGGTACGTGCCACCAAGCCCAGATTTTTTTTTTTTTCTTCTGGAGTCTCGCTCTGTCACCCAGGCTGAAGTACAGTGGCACAATCTTGGCTCACTGCAACCTCCACCTCCTGGGTTCTAGCAATTCTCCTGCCTCAGCCTCCTGAGTAGCTGAGACTACAGGTGCACACCGCTATGCCCCGCTAATTATTTGTATTTTAGTAGAGATGGGATTTCACTGTGTTGCCCAGGCTGGTCTCAAAACTCCTGCGCTCAGGCAATCCACCCGCCTCAGCCTCCCAAAGTGCTAGGATTACAGGCGCGAGCTACCAAAGTCAGTCAATTTTTATTTTTTACAGAGATGTGGTCTCGTTCTGTTGCTCAGGCTGGTCTCAAACTCCTGCCTTCAAGCAGTCCTCCTGCCTCAGCCTCCCCAAGTACGGGGATGACAGGTGTGAACCACTGTGCCCAGCCTAGTTTTCGTTTCTTTTGTTTTGTTTTGTTTGTTTGTTTGAGAGAGGGTCTCATGCTGTTACACGGGCCAGAGTGCAGGCGTGTCATCTCAGCTCACTGCAGCCTTAACCTCTTAGGCTCAGGTAATTCTCCCACCTCAGCCTCCCAGGTAGGTGGAACGACAGGCACACGCCACCACGCCTGGCTAATTTTTTTGTATTTTTAGTAGAAATGGGTTTTTTCCATGTTGCCCAGCCTAGTCTGGAACTCCTGGGTCAAGCAATCTGCCAGCCTCGACCTCCCAAAGTGCTGGGATTACAGGAATGAACCACTGCACCCAGCCTAATTTTAATTTTGTATAACGTAAATGTAGATAGATCGGACTCTCATAAACAAAAGCTCTTTAGGGTTCTCAACCAATTTTAAGTGTACTAAGATACATTTAATACACTTTAATTAAGATACACACTTAATAGGCCAGACGCAGTGGCTCATGACTGCAATCCCAACACTTTGGGAGACTGAGGTGGGTGGACCACCTGAGGCCAGGAGTTCCAGATGAACCTGGCCAACATGGTGAAACCCCGTCTCTACTAAAAATACAAAAATTAGCCAGGCGTGGTGGTGCATGCCTGTAATCTCAGCTACTAGGGAGGCTGAGGCAGGAGAATCACTTGAATACAGGAGGTGGAGGTTGCAGTGAGCCAAAACCTCACCATTATACTCCAGCCTGGACAACAAGAGTAAAACTCTGTCTCAAAAAAAAAAAAAAAAAAATACACTTAAAGTGTATATTAAGTGTATTTTTGGTCCTGAGACCAAAACCTTTGAGAACTGCTGCTGTAGACCACAGGACAAAGTGGGGCTCCTGTCTGCTCCTCTACCCACTTCCCATGCTTCACCCCCAGGGCCCCAACATGTTGTCACTCACCTCTCAGCACACTGGGCTGAGGGTAGGATGGCATCTGACAAGGTCACTTTGCTGTGGAATGACCCAGGTCTGGTACGGTTGCTTGGTTGGTTGGCAAAGAGAACATTGTAATCCACACATCGAAAGAGGAAGGTTGTGAAGGTGACAATGAAAATGAATTGTCTGCCGGGAGGAAGGGGGGTGTCGGGATGCTGCAGTGATCAGGGACAGCCAGATGGGCTCCTGTCCTGGCTTCCAGAGCCACCCAGGGTCATCCTCCCCAACCCTGCCCCTGCTGAGCCCCTGGGCTGCTTGGGAAAGCATGGGATGGAAGCAGCAGCCATGATTAAGGAAGCAGATGACAGGAGGAACACATGGGCCCAGGGGAACGAGTTCCATGGCCAGGCTAAGGGTCTCACCCCAGCTGGAAGACATCCTCCAGCAGGATGCAGGCAAAGCCATTCCGCTGGTGGTAGCTGTAGATGTGGCCGCATGTCAAGGAACAAGCCTGAAGCATGAGGGGTCTCTCCTGAGGACACCTCCCCTCAGCCCCAACACATCTCCCACCCATGACGCCCTCATGGAGTCTCCCTGCCAAGAATAGTGCCAGCTCTAAGGGGACCTTCTCATGATATCTTGCAGGCCTAGCACAAAGGATATCTTGGTGAAGAAGCTGTCCAGGTTCTGGATGTGATGCCAGGAACCTGGGCACAGAGGGGAGAGTGTCAGCTCCTGGCACCTGATCAGTTCTCCACGTTCTCAACCCGATGCCAGAGGCCCAGCCTGGGGTAAGTATTGGAGTTCCCAGGTACCACCTACCAGGTCCCACCCACACCCGCACACATACCCCGGAGCCCTTCAGGGACGTGAAGCAGGGGTTGCTGCTCCTCCCCGTGGATGGGTAAGTCTTGGGACCCCTCAGGGTCACAGTCCTCCAGCCGCTCATAATCCTGCTCAGGGATCAAAGGGCCTATCCGCAGCCCAGGAGAGTCCTGGGGGCACTGGTGTGAGGGAGGGGCAGTCACTGAGGCCAGGGGTGGGGTGGAGTGGGATCCCCAGGAGGGGGATGCAGAGGCAGGTGACATTGCAGGTTGAACCTCTGTTGGGGGGATGGCTGGGGTGGGGAGAGCACTGTGGCAAGGCTGAGAAGCCCCTGTCCCCTGTAGCACTGAGCAAGGGGGCCCTGGGGTGAGAGGGGAAAATGAGGAGGGAGAGCTTCTTGTATGAGGGGCAGGGGACAGAGAGAAGATGGAGATCCTCCCTCCTCCAGGTCCCCGGCAGGAAGGAGGAGGAGGAGGTGGCAGTGGCATGGGGAGGAGGGGCACCGATCCGGGCCCCAGGTCTCCCCACCGCCCCAGCCGCCCTCTACTCCTCCCCCAGCCCATTCGGCTCACCATGAGGCCACCGCTTCTCCAGAAAGGATGGAAGGATGGGAGCTGTTGCTGCTTCCACAGAGGTCTGTGATGCTGAGCTGGGACTTCAACAGGAGCTATGACAACAACAATACTAGGTGACTCAGCCCAGGCAGGCCTCAGGCGTCCCGGCTCTCAGTCACCTGCCTGATCACTCACACCCCTTCCAGGACAACCTGATGCCAAATCCCTCAGGGCCTGAAAGGGGCATCAGTTAAAGAGCCAGGGCCTGAAGAGCACATTGAGATGACAGGAGATTCCTATTATCTCAATCTTCAGACCTTGAATGAATGAAAGATAAAGAGCAGCAGCCAAAATGACACAACCAAAATGCAAAATTGTGTTAGAGACAGGAGTGGTGGTGTGTGCTTGTGTTCCTAGCTACTCAGGAGGCTGAGGTGGGAGGATGACTTGGTGCAGGTCACACTGGGACAGTGTAGGTTACAGTGAGCTAGATCTAGCCACTACACTCCCGCCTGGCAAAGATTCCGGTTCACAACCCACCCCCCCAAAAAAAAAATCCTATTAAAGAATTGTAGCTGGGCATGGTGCCTCACACTTGTTATCAATCTCAGCACTTTGGAAGGCTGAGGCAAAAGGATTGCTTGAGGCCTGGAGTTGGAGAACAGCCTGGGCAACAGAGTGAGAAGACTCCATCTCTACAATAAATCATAGGGCCAAGATGTTAAATATTTCATTTCTTGAGAGTGTCCCTCCCCTGCTTCCCTCCACACACACTACAGTGATCAACAGGGAAATGTTTTGTGAATAAAGTAGAAAAGAAAAAGAAAAGGGCCAGGCACATTGGCTCACACCTGTAATCCCAACACTTTGGGAGGCTCAGGTGAGAGGATCACTTGAGGCCAGGAGATCAAGACCAGCCTGAGCAACTTAGGGGGACACCATCTCTATGAAAACTAAAGAAAACACTCAATTATTTTTTAAAGAATAAGAAAAGGCTGCATGCTTTATTGGTCTGAGGGGCTAAGGAAGGGAAGCGGGGGAGCCTGATTTTGCAGCCAAGTTGGGGAAAACTAAGAAGAGGAGAAGACAGGAAAGGCAGCTGTCTTGGATTTGAGAGTCGTTTTGGGGAGCTTAAAGTAGAAAACTGGGAGCCCACGTGTGGTGGCTCACACTTGCAATCCCAGCACTTTGGGCGGATCACGAGGTCAGGAGTTTGAGACCAGCCTGGCCAACACAGTGAAACCCATCTCTGCTAAAAATACAAAAATTAGCTGGGCGTGGTGGCAGGCACCTGTAATCCCAGCTACTTGGTAGACTGAGGCAGGAGAATCACTTGAACCAGGGAGGCGGAGGTTGCAGTGAACCGAGAGTACACCACTGCACTCCAGCCTGGACAACAGAGCTAGACTCCGTCTGGAAAAAAAAAAAAAAAAAAAAAAAAGTAGAAAATTGGGCTTCTCTGAAAGTTCCACTCCATTTCCATCCTTATCCTTTTGAACTTTGACATTCTCTCAAGTCTGGATCCAACTTCTGGGACCTGCTGAAAAACATCCCGGCTGAATCAGAAAGGAGGACAGCTGTGAGCCTGGGACTTGGAAGGATAATTTGGGTACCCAGGGAGGAGCTGAAACGAGTTCCTTGTTGTCACCTCAACAAGGAGGAGGAGGCCCAGGCAGCCGGTCTGGTGGCTTGCCCAACGCCATTCTTGAGGGCCTGAATCATGAGGTTTCCTTCTAAAGCCCATTCCTGAGATGCTGACTCAGCCACCAGGTGTCAAGGTTTCTAGGGCTTAGGCCCAAGGGCTGATGTTGGGGCCAGTATCCCTGAAATGGAGAGATGGACACTGTGCTTCCCAGATTGCTCACCAAAGGCAATCATGGAATCACCCACGAAACTAGGGACCAGATGTGCCTGATTTTTCTCCTTCTATGTAGAGTATTGTAGTAGCAGTAGCTTAGGTCTTGTATGCCTTTATCCCCGAGCAGGAGGCAGAGCTATGAAAACAAGACCTGTCTTTCTAGAGGTAGCAAAATAGAATCCCACATTGCAGAGGGGCCAGAAAATTCTTATAATCTTTCTGAGACATCTGCCAAGATGGGTTATGTGGAGTTTTGTCTAGTCTCTTCCCCACCTCACTCACCCAATGTCACTCAATATCATGGCTATTCCACCAGAGTCACAATAGGTCACCTCCCTATACACCCAGAGCTCCCTTGCCCAACCCCAAACTAATCCTGGGACATTGTCCTACCTAGTTTAACCCTGAATTCATTCTCATTGACAGTCTCCCTACCACTCCCAAGTTAAGTCGATTTATAATAAAGGGCACTTTTCCTTGCCAAGCATTTGGAAGGGAAGGGGACAGATAAATGAAACAGAGCCACTACCCAGCAAGAAGTTGCAGCCCAGTGGAAAGACAGATACACAAACAAATACAGGGAAGAGATAAGAGTGATGTAAACTTTTCGGTAGGAGCCTGAGGCAAGTCTTTCTGATCTGAGTGATGAAGGCATCTGTGAGGCACAGAGATCTGAGGCCGCGCCTTGATAAATTACAGGACCTCCATACCAGTAGTTCTCAACAGCTGAGGCGTAGGGCAAGTGTCAGAATCACTGGGGGAGTTTTTTCCCAAGTAATCATGACAGATGTCCCAGCAGTTCTGACGCGCCTAGGAGAGCGGGGTGGGCAGCAAGGTATATGTATGTGTTTTGAAAAAACGCCCAGTCGATTTGTGTTCATTCCAGCCCCAGAGCCCGCGTTCTCCACTCCCTGGAGACAACAGGACATCTAAAGATCTTAGAGCCTTAGGAAAATGGCCCGAGGTCGGCGGCTGTCGCGTTACCATGGATACTCCGGGGTGGAGGGCCTGACCGGGCACACCCTGATGACGTTACCCTGAGCCGACTGGCGCACAGGGCAAAAGGCAAACCCACTTCCTGTTCGGCTCCGCTCAGAGCAGGGGACGGGCGGGTAGGCGATTCTCCCCAATCACAGTTCCGAAAGGAGGAGCGCTGACAACGTATCGTCCGATCACAGCTTGCAACGAGATTGATGTGTCTTTTCACCAATCACTGCCTAGGCGCGAGGGGGTTGTCGGGATGTGGGCGGGAGCCAACATGGAGCCCTCAGTGGGATGAGGGTGAAACTGCCATTGCCGGCTACTCCTGTTTTCCCGCCCCAGCATGCTGGTGCATTTATTTCGGGTCGGGATACGGGGTGGCCCAGTCCCAGGCAGGCCGCTACTGCCCCTCCGCTTCCAGACATTCTCAGCTGTCAGGTAAAAAGGGAAAAACCTACTCAGCGCGGGCCATTAACCGGCCGGCAGGTCATTTCCAGGCCCGCCGGGAGATGGAGTCCGCGGGCTCGCGCGAGGCTTGCTGGGAGTTGTAGGCCAGGCCGGCCGGGGTGGAATGTGACTCCGCGGGTATTGGCTTCAATTATTTATAGTGACAATATACGCGCCAGCGGATGCTCCGGCTCCGGCGTCTGCATCCGCTTGTCGGCTGCAAGGAGGGGACGCTCGGGGTCAGTGACCACGCCCAGCCCGCACTCCCGACCAGGGGTCGCCTTTCCTGGCCCCGGAGTTGATTGGGCGATTTGAACGAAAATTCGTATTAGTGTCAAGAGACATTTAATAGTAGTGGTGTTCCCAGGATTCAAAGTGAGTCGAACAAGAGCTGGAGATGTTCAGCAGTGATAAAGAGCCAATCTGATGGGCTAGGCGCGGTGGCTCACCCCTGTAATCCCAGCAGTTTGGGAAGCCAGGAGTTCATGACCAGCCTGGCCAACATGGCAAAACCCCGTATTTACTAAAAACTACAAAAATTTGCTCTTTGTGGTGGCACACGCCTGTAATTCCAGCTACTTCTCAAAAAAAGAAAAGAAAAGAAAAAGTCAATCTAATAACTTGTGCATGTCTGTTTTTGACAAAACACTGTTACACAGATTGGTCCAGAGAGAGAGAGGGACAGGTGGGAAACAAACAAGCAGCCTGAAAGTACAACTCGAATGTAAATGTTTTATGAGAAGGGACTGATTCCTGAATCCTTTTTTTTTTTTAGACAGTCTCGCTCTGTCACCCAGGCTGGAGTGCAGTGACGCGATCTCAGCTCACTGCAATCTCTGCTTCCTGGATTCAAGGGATTCTCATGCCTCAGCCTTCCAAGTAGCTGGGATTACAGACGTTCACCACCACACCTCGCTAAGTTTTGTATTTTTAGTAGAGGCGGGGTTTCATCATTTTGGCCCGATCTCAGGTGATCCTCCCACCTCAGCCTCCCAAAGTGCTGGGATTACAGGCATGAGCCACTGCTCCTGGCCGTCTTTTCCAATCCTAGAGTGAATAACTTGGGGGCCAAGCAGATAGAAGATTCCCAAGGGCAGGCGGATGTGGAGTTGTGTCATTTGGAAAGGCCATTTGACTGATGGAGGGCAAGAGCTGGGGTGAGCTGGAGCTGGAAGTCTTGGTGCTGGGAAGTAATCCGCAAGCTCTTGGCAATGACGAAGACTTTCTTAGAGTCTTAGTTTGGAGACAATGCAAGAAGCTGGAAAAAGGCCATGGTAAATTGTTGAAAGGTTTAAAAGCAGTCCTTCAGAAAGAGTAAGGGTGTTGATGTTATTTAAACCAGAGAGAAACCCAAGAAAAGACAACAAATAATATTCAAGTATATACACATTCATTAGTCAGTATTTTTCAATAGATTATGAAATGAATTTAGTGGGTCAGGACCATTTAAAAGTAAACATAGGCCAGGCACGGTGGCTCACACCCGTAATCCCAGCACTTTGGGAAGCCAAGGCAGGCACATTACCTGAGGTCAGGAGTTCAAGACTAGCCTGGCCAATGTGGTGAAACCTTGTCTCTACTAAAAATACAAAAATTAGCCAGGCGTGGTTGTGTGCACCTGTAGTCTCAGCTACTTGGGAGGCTGAGGCAAGAGAATTGCTCCAACCCAGGAGGTAGAGGTTGCAGTGAGCCAAGATCACGCCACTGCACTCCAGCCTGGGCATCAGAGCAAGACTCCACCTCTAAATAAATATATGTATGTAAATATGGGTCAGGCATAGTCGCACACATCTGTCATCCCAGCACTTTGAGGAGCCAAGGCAGGCAGATTACTTGAGGTCAGGAGTTCAAGACCAACCTGGCCAACATGGTGAAGCTCCGTCTCTACTAAAAATACAAAAATTAGTCAGGCTCTATGGCTCACACCTATAATCCCAGCACTTTGAGGGGCCGAGGTGGGCAGATCACTTGAGGTTAGGAGTTCGAGACCAGCCTAGCCAACCTGGTGAAGCCCTGTCTGTACTAAAATAACAAAAATTAGCTGGGCATGATGATGCCTGTAGTCCCAGCTACTCAGGAGGCTGAGGCAGGAGAATCGCTTGAACCCAGGAAACAGAGGTTACAGTGAGCCAAGATAGTGTCACCGCTCTCCAGCTTGGGCAACAGAGAGAGACACCGTCTCAAAAAGAAAAGAAGGCCGGGCGCAGTGGCTCACGCCTGTAATCCCAGCACTTTGGGAAAGCTGAGGTGGGTCAATCACAAGGTCAGGCATTCAAGACCTGGCTGGTCAACATGGTGAAACCCCATCTGTACTAAAAACACAAAAATTACCTCGGTGTGGTGGCGCACGCCTGTAATCCCAGCTACTCAGGAGGCTCAGGCAGGAGAATGCTTGAACCTGGGAAATGGAGGTTGCAGTGAGCTGAGATTGCACCCTTGTACTCCAGTCTGGACGACAGCGGCACACCGTCTCAAAAAAAAAAAGAAAAGAAAAGATCAGAATACATGTTAAGAATTAGAGAAAATATTTTATGAAACGTTTCCATTTTGAGTGGCATATATGTGTTCATGGTTGTGATGTAAGATATGTTTGTTTCCTTCCTCACGGAGAACCTCTGAAAAGGGTAAAAAAAAGAAAAAAAAAAAAGACATGTTTCTTGCTGTAGGCCACAGTAAGTGTAAACATTTGCAAAACCCTGTAGTAGCTGGGTTAGATTGCATCTCTAACGAGGGCATGCATGTGCTTAACAAACATAAACATTCGTGGAACATCTATCATCTTCTGCCAGTGCCATCTAAGATACAGTTTCCTGCTTTTCAGAAACACATGGTGTGGGAAAACTGGACAGTTACACAAGGCAGAAGGAGAGTAAGCATCTCGATCTAAAATTTATGATAGACACAAGAACACAGTGGAAAACCAGACAGAAAAGCCCGGCAGTCGGAATGGGGTGGGGGAAGGCCTCATGTGGGCAAGAGGCACAGGCCTTCCTAAAAGCAAGGGAACAATGAGCTGAAACTGCAATTAGAAGGTTCTAGGGATGTGAAAAGCCACGTTGGGAAAGAGAAAAGCTCACACCATTCTTTTTTACAGCCTTCCCAACAGTAAGCTCATCTGGATCTTCCAGATCTCACCATCCTCTCCTGGCTGGATGACTTCTGCTCCCTACAACCAGTCCTGTCTGCCTCCAGACCACGCCCCTCTGCTATGATCTTTTTTTTTTTTTTTTTTTTTTTTTTTTTGAGACAGAGTCCCGCTCTGTTGCCAAGGCTAGAGTACTGTAGCTCAGCTCACTGAGACCTTCACCTCCCAGGTTCAAGTGGTTCTCCTGCCTGAGTAGCTGGGACCACAGGCACACACCACCACACCCACCTAATTTTTCTATTTTTCTATTTTCAACAGGGTTTCAATATGTTGGTCTCAAACTCCTGGCCTCAAATGATCCAGCTACCTCAGCCTCCCAAAGTGTTGGGGTTACAGTATGAGCCACTGCACTCTGCCACGCTTTGATCTTTAAAATGCGAACCTGATCTTGTCACACGTCAGCCTAAAAATCACCATGGTCCTTACTGCTCTCTTAAGTCCAGGTGCTTGATAAGAACTAGAAAACTGCCTCTCCCAGAGGTTGCAGTGGGCTGAGATTGCGCCTTTGCACTCCAGCCTGGGCAACAAGAGCGAAACTCCGCTCAAAAAAAAGAAAAGAAAACTGCCTTTCCCCCAAGTCTCATGTCTCCTCTTTCTTCTTGTAGGCCAGGCTTCCGCCATACAATTCCTGAAACTTCTCTCCTATCCTTTCTTACTGCAGACACCCGCACTTGCTCTCCCTCGGTCTAGAGGCTTCCCGATTTACACCCCACCCTCACCTGTGCCTGGCCTCCATTTTCCCCCCAGGCCTCACCTAGAAAGCATGATTCCCTCTGAGGGGGAGGAGGAGGAAGAGCAGGGCTTCAAGCTGTCTTGTGCCTGTGATTCCCTGTTAACTGCGAGTCTCCCACACCCAGGCATGGCTGCTGTGAGGGGAGTGACTTTGGCTGTCACGTTCCTCTCCATCCTCTCCGTCCCCCCGAGCAGAGCACCTGCACACGGTAGTTCAGGATGTCTAGAATAGGTGGAGCGCGGTGCTCATGCCTGTCATCCCAGCACTTTGGGAGGCCGAAGTGGGTGGAATGCCCAAGGTCAGGAGTTCGAGGCCAGCCTGGCCACCATGGTGAAACTCCCATCTCTACTAAAAATGCAAAAATTCGCCAGATGTGGTGGCGGGCGCCTGTAATCCTAGCTGCTCAGGAGGCTGAGGCAGGAGATTCGCTTGAACCTGGGAGGTTGCAATGAGCCAACGTTGCACCATTGCACTCCAGCCTGGGGCACAAGAGCAAGACTTCATCACACCCACACACACACAAAAAAAAAAAGCAGAGGAAGTCCTGCTTCCAGAGGGCCCGGCCGGAGCTCCGAGGGTGGACTAGTCAGTTGGAGGACAGTCAGAGCCTCGAGCCATCCGTGCCTCTTTCTCATTACAGGTACTCTGATGGCTCCCGCAGCTTCTCCCTCCCCCGGGCCGTGGCCCACCTGCGGTCCCAGCTCTGGGCCCACCTCCTTCGAGCCCCGCTAGCTCCCAGACGGAGGCCCTCTGCCTGGTGCTGGGTTGGGGGAGCCCTGCTAGGCCCTTTGTTGCTGAGTAAGCGTCCCCGCCTCTGCCTTGTGGCCCTGTGTGAGACAGAAGAGGCCCTTCCTGCCAGCTCCACACCCCGAGTCGTGGGGTCACGCTTTAACTGGAAGCTCTTCTGGCAGTTTCTGCGCCCCCACCTGCTGGTCCTGGGGGTAGCCATCGTGGTGAGGCTTTCCCCACTTCTCCATCCTGGGGACAGGGCAGGACCCAGGAAGGGCCTGCAGAGGCCCTGAGCCAGAGCTGCAAAGGGATGGCATTCCTGCCTTGCCCCCTCTCAGAGGAGAGTTCACGGGAGCAGCAAGGGCTGGCCAGGGGTCCAGGGATGCCAGGAGCATCGACACCAGGTGGCGGAGTGTGCCGGGGGCCATTGGGGCTGGAAGCCAGGTTTGAACCTCTGAGAGGCACTGATGTGTCCCTATGACCAGCTGCAGCCTGGACACAGCAGGGTTCAGTGGTGGGAGAGGAAGGGCCAGTATCTGGCTGGGGCTGGGGAGGAGGATGGCTCCCCACTCAGAACACCTGTCCCCTCTGCCTCCCCATTCAGCTGGCCTTGGGTGCGGCACTGGTGAATGTACAGATCCCCCTGCTTTTGGGCCAGCTGGTAGAGATTGTGGCCAAGTACACGAGGGACCACGTGGGGAGTTTCATGACTGAGTCCCGGAATCTCAGCACCCACCTGCTTATCCTCTACGGTGTCCAGGTACAGCCGGGAGCGGGGCTGGGGGCCGCTGACGAGCTGCCCGTGGCATCCCTGAGTGCACTGGCCTCTTTTGCAGGGACTGCTGACCTTCGGGTACCTGGTGCTGCTGTCCCACATCGGCGAGCGCATGGCGGTGGACATGCGGAGGGCCCTCTTCAGCTCCCTGCTCCGGTAATGCCAGCCACAGGGTGCAGACTTGGGATGCCTGGTGGCCCGATGGGGGCCTGGGGATGGGGCCTCATCCTGAAGTAATGTCCCCCTCTTCTGCCCTCCTCGTTGGCCCATGTCCCATGCCAGACAAGACATCGCCTTCTTTGACGCCAATAAGACAGGGCAGCTGGTGAGCCGCTTGACAACTGATGTGCAGGAGTTTAAGTCATCCTTCAAGCTTGTCATCTCCCAGGTCAGTGGCCCAGCGCACCCATTCACTTCCTCGCACACTTTCCCACGTGGACTTACCAGGCCAGTCCTAGCCGCCCCAGGCCACACTGACCGGAGAAGCCCGCCACCTGTTAAGGGTGCGGGGAGGGGCCACAGCAGTTCATGGAAGGGAAGTGCGGAGGCAGCATCCAAGGTCAGGACAGGCTGCTTCTCCATTGCTCTGAAACCGAATCCCCCCTGGAAAGCCTTCTCAAGCACTCAGACAAGAACCTCTCCTGGCAAGAGCAAAATCACTTCGCCTGCCTTGTCCCCAGAGTGCCTGGATCGCTGACGAGCACTGAGCATGCATAGTGGCTCTCTGCTGAACACGGATGCCCTCCCCTCACCCCTCCACCAACCCTGTGGCTGCTGGATCATGCCAGACACTAGCCTCGGCAGTCACTGGTGTACCCCATGCGGTTCTCTGTTCTGTTCCTAGAACAGAAAGAGAAGCAAGCTGGGTTGGTCCGGGGGAAGACTCCGCAGTTCATAGCATTCTCGCTCGGCTCATTCATGGCCTGCTGCTCGCACCCCAGCTGTCCAAGTTAGAGTTACATGCTGTGACCGGTGGACAGCCACTTGGCCTCCAAGGGGCCAGACCTGGGGCCTTGGTCTTGGGAGTACAGAGCTACAGCTGGCTGACCCTTGGAAAAGTCCTTCCTGTCATGGTGTGGACACCATAGCCTCCTGCCTTCCCTCCCACTCTCTAGGGGCTTAGAAGCTGCACCCAGGTGGCAGGCTGCCTGGTGTCCCTGTCCATGCTGTCTCCACGCCTCACGCTACTGCTGATGGTGGCCACACCAGCCCTGATGGGAGTGGGCACCCTGATGGGCTCAGGCCTCCGAAAACTGTCTCGCCAGTGTCAAGAGCAGGTACTGGCATTCCTGCCCATCCTCCTCACCCTCCCCACACCGGTTCGCTTCCCACTCCCTGGAACTCCTCCCTGTCTCCAACCTGGCTTCGCATTTCCTGGCCTCCTTGCAGATTGCCAGGGCAATGGGCGTAGCGGACGAGGCCCTGGGCAATGTTCGGACTGTGCGCGCCTTCGCCATGGAGCCACGGGAAGAGGAGTGAGTCCTGGGAGGGCGAAGCACAGAGCAGATGCCCCCCCACACCCTGCCCACCCTTCGTGCCAGCCCAGCTGCCTCCTGAGTGCACTGGCTTCTCTCACCAGGCGCTACGGGGCAGAACTGGAAGCCTGCCGCTCCCGAGCAGAGGAACTGGGCCGGGGCATCGCCTTGTTCCAGGGGCTTTCCAACATCGCCTTCAACTGTGAGTGAGCTAGTGGGGGGCTGGTGGGCGCTTGTGGGCTGGGGAGGAGCTGGGAGCAGGCACGGCAGGCAAAGGGCCGTCCTCTGAGCCTGCGTTTGCCTTGGGCCGGCAGCTGACTCATGCAGGTAAAGGGAGGGTGCTAATGTCCCAGCTGAACTACGGAGCTCCATGCAAAGCACCGCAGGGCCACCGTCAAGGAGGCCGTGGAGGCGTGCCCACCCTTCTTGCTCTTCCAAGGAGGAAACCAAGGCTGGGACCAGACATGGGCCTCACCTGACTCTCCCAGTTAGCAGCGGCAGAGCAGGCCCAGGGTCGATTCCTCTGCTTCTGCCTCATCCCCCTCACTGCCTGTCCCCTCCCACAGGCTCAGCCTCATCCCCCTCACTGCCTGTCCCCGCTCACACGAGCTCCAGCCTCGTCCCCCTCACTGCCTGTCCCTGATCACACGAGCTCCAGCCTCGTCCCCCTCACTGCCTGTCCCCACTCACACGAGCTCCAGCCTCGTCCCCCTCACTGCCTGTCCCTGATCACACGAGCTCCAGCCTCATCCCCCTCACTGCCTGTCCCCTCTCCTGCAGGCATGGTCTTGGGCACCCTGTTTATTGGGGGCTCCCTTGTGGCCGGACAACAGCTGACAGGGGGAGACCTCATGTCCTTCCTGGTGGCCTCCCAGACAGTGCAAAGGTAAGTGGGGGCCGTTCCTATCGCTGCAGGGCCCCATGCCACCCTCCACAGCCCTGCTGGGACAGGGGACATGGGTGCCAGCCTTCTCTGGGAGCCGACTGCCGTGCAGCTCCAGGCCTGCCCAGCTCCCCACGGGGATGCATAGGGTGGGGAGAGAGCCCCTCAGGGCCCAGAACACCCTCCTGGCCAGGGCAGCGGTGCTGCAGCAGGCATGTGTTTGTCATCCTCAGCCTTCCAAAGGACCCAGAAGTTTCCTTAACAAGCTTTTTTAAAAAAGTTTGTTTTAACTGTAGTAAAGTACACGTAACATAAAATGCAGCATTTTAACCATGTGGAAGCATGCAGCTCATTGGTGCACTCACATTGCTGTGCCGCTGTTACCACCACCCAGCTCCAAAATGCTTTTTTTTTTTTTTTTTTTTTTTTTTAATGGAGTCTCACTCTATAGCCCAGCCCGGAGTGCAGCGGCCTTCTCGGCTCACCGCAACCTCCACCTCCCGGGTCCCAGTTCAAGCAATTGTCCCACCTCAGCCTCCCAAGTAGCTGGGATTACAGGCATGAGCCACCATGCCCAGCTAAGTTTTCTATTTGTAGTTGAGATGGGATTTCACCATGTTGGCCAGTCTGGTCTTGAACTCCTGACCTCGTGATCTGCCCGCCTCAGCCTCCCAAAGTGCTGGGATTACAGGCATGAGCCACCGCACCCGGCCTCCAGAACACATCTTATCTGGCGGAGCGGAGACTGTCCCCATGAAACTCGAGTCCCTGCCTGCCCTCCCCCAGCCCCTGGTACCCACCAGTCCACTTTGTCCTTATGATTTGACAACTCTAGGGACATCCTGTAAGGGGAGTCAGACCATCCGTGTCCTTTTGTGACTGCATTTTGTCACTGCAGCGTGTCTTCAGCTTCCTCCATGTTCCAGCCTGTGTCCGAATCCCCTCCCATTGCAGGCTATGACATTCCATCCATGGATGGACCGTCATTGACAGGCTTTGTGAGCTGCCCCTCCCCATTATTGGCCACTTCAGGGATGAGACGCTGACCCTTGGTCCTGCACATCCCACCCTTAGAGCTTATTGTTTTCATTGATCTGAAACCACCAACTCAGCTGAACCTCTGGGGTGTCCAGAGGCGATAGGCTGACTTCACTAGACGGCCCAAGGCAGGTCTCCCCAGTCCTGTCTCTTTCCAAGCTAAACACAAGCAGTTCTGCATACAGCTGCTATGGTAAATAATGAGATCGTGAATATGCTGTAAGACCTGTCTCTACCAACCACATGTCGCCCCTGCCGCCCCGTCCCTCCCCAAGCCCCCTGCTCTTCCTCTGGGCACCACCCCCCCACCCGCTTCCGCTGTGGCATGTGTCCTTGCCCTGCTGCATGGTGCACCCTGCATGTGTGTCGCTGGATCAGAATCCCTCACTGCAGGGCCTACTGTCCAGGGAAAGGTGAGGCAGGTAGAGACCAGCTCCCATTCTCGGCCCCAAACCTGACATTCTACAAAGACATTCCTCCCATTTCCGCAGCTGCACAGACACCCTCCTGGGCCCCATTTCTGCTCAATGCTCCTCAATCTTGAGCACGTTCAGACTCTTTCTGGTCCTGAACTCAGGCCTCCTGGGCAGCCTCGTCCCTCCTCCAGCCCAGAGAACTATTCCCTGGTGGCTTTGGAATTCAGATGCCCTCACTGTGATAGACATGGGGCTGGTGGGGGCATGCGGGTGCTTCTGCTGGCTGCCCTGCTCCATGCTGACCCACTTCCCTTGACCAGAGCCTTGGCCTCTCTGGATAAGACAGTCGTTTTAGTCCTGAGGACTATAAGAAGCCCAGTGGCTCTCTTAATAAAATCACCCCTGCCGGGCGCGGTGGCTCAAGCCTGTAATCCCAGCACTTTGGGAGGCCGAGGCGGGTGGATCACGAGGTCAAGAGATCGAGACCATCCTGGTCAACCTGGTGAAACCCCGTCTCTACTAAAGATACAAAAAATTAGCTGGGCATGGTGGCGCGTGCCTGTAATCCCAGCTACTCAGGAGGCTGAGGCAGGAGAATTGCCTGAACCCAGGAGGCGGAGGTTGCGGTGAGCCGAGATGGCGCCATTGCACTCCAGCCTGGGTAACAAGAGCGAAACTCCGTCTCAAAAAAAAAAAATAAAAATAAAAATAAAAAATAAATAAAATCACCCCTTTGCCCTCTGGGGTGGGCAGTGGCAGGACAGTCTCCCTGTGGGGAGGGTGGCTGTACTGTCCAGTCCCAGCCCTCCCCCTTTGGGGTCCCCACTTTCCCTTTAGGGCCTGAGACCCTGACCTTACCTCCCATGGTACTGCTTGGCCATCCAGCAAGTTGATGATTTACACAAGAACACCTAGGGGCTAGTCTGTGCTGTCTCACTGGCTGCTCTCACAGCCACAGGCCCTAGACCCATTCCCTTGGGGGTCCTTCTAGCCCTGCCCATGTGGAGATTCTTCCTGACCCACCTTCAGGGAATTGGGTCTGTTGTGTAAAAGGAGCTGGTGTGTTTCCCACTGGGTCCTGCCAGCTAAGCTAAGGGCCCAGACATCGGCACTGGCGTCAGCAGAGGGGAGACAGAGAGAGGGGAGCAGGATGGCCTGGCCCTGCCTTAGGCAGCCTAACCTGTGGGCCCATCCTGAGCACTCCTGATGGAGATGGGGAGGCACCAGGACAGACAGCAACGGGGGCCCAGCCGCCTCATTAGAATCGGGGCCAGGCCCCGCCTGGGTACAAGCCCGCAGCCTGTAGCCCACAGCCCTTGGCCCTTGAGAACACAGTCGTCTCCCTCCAATGAGTCACATGCGTTTTGAATTTCAGTTTCTGCCTGCCCCCTTTGCCAGGCCTTGATGTCTTCCGGATCTCTGGTGGAGAATGTTCCCCTCCTCATCAGCAGATAGCTGGCTGGGCTGGTTGCTTCCTGCTGCTGCCTCCCTGCTGCCTTTAGCATGTGCTGACTACACTGAGACTGCTGGGACCTTTTCCCTTCGAGTTTCCAGGCTCCGCCCACTCACCCCCACCCCAGTGCTGGGAGAAGTGAGTCTTGCAGCTCAAGGATTGCTGGGGAGTCAGTCTTTCCTCTTCTTAAGGAGCAGACCAGGCATAGACAGTGGCAGACACACTGTCACGGGTCAGCCAGGCCAGTCAGGGACCAGTGACCAAGAAGCAGTTGATTCACCTTCCCCAGCCTCCTGGCAGCCAGCCAACCCTACCCCAGCCCTGCCTGGATGCAGGAGTCCACCCACTGTCTAGACAGATAACACTCACCATGGGGATACTCACCTGCAGGGCAAACCCACAAGAAAAGTTTTTTTCAGGGAATTTTGTTTGGGGGTCTCCCCAGAGTTCCTCTGCGGCCCAGAGTCTCTGTTTGCTTCTTTCTCCAAAAAGGTTTAACCTCACTTTTCCCACCTAAATTTCAGCCAAAGTCATTGCTCCCCCAGGAGTCCACGCAACCCTTGATCTCTGTTCAGGCGGCGGCATCTGCATTATCAGGGCCTCAGGGAGGTCGTGGGTCAGCTGGGCTCCCTTCCTTGTGGGCTGATGTCATCCTGCCTGTGTGCACAGGCCTCCCCCTGCAGACCACAGGCCAGGGCGGTAGAGGACACCACAGAGGCCTGTGCCTTCACTTCCATTTCCTCCTGGAGCACCCCCTCCTGGGGGCCTGGGCTGGGCTGAGGGACAGCTGTCATCCCTACCCGGCCAAGGAGAAAGCCAAGGCTCAGCCATCTGGTGTCACAACGTCCCAGGGCTCCATGCCTCCAAGCTGTAGGAGCGGTCCCTGCATTTACCCCCACAGGCTACCTTGCTCCCCACCATGGCTTCCTTCCCCTTCCCTCTGGCTCGTCTTGTTCCATCAATTCCAACCCTCTGTCCTTCTCCTGCCAGGTCCATGGCCAACCTCTCCATCCTGTTTGGTCAGGTGAGTGGCCGGTAGGGTGGAGGCCTGGGGTGTGGAGTCCGCCATGTGTGTGCCGCTGTGGGAGCTGCCTGTTGACTGGGTGTGGGTGGGCGGAGAGCTGGGGGGACCCCAGCCCAGAGCCACAGCCGCTCCCTGGAGATGCTGTGGTCACCCCTACTCCTGCCTCCCTGCGGACTTGGATCCCTCCCACAGGTGGTCCGGGGGCTGAGCGCAGGCTCCCGGGTCTTTGAGTACATGGCCCTGAGCCCCTGCATCCCGCTGTCGGGGGGCTGCTGCATCCCCAAAGAGCACCTGCGTGGCACCGTCACATTTCACAATGTCTGCTTCAGGTCAGCGTGGGTGATGAGGCGCAGGGGTGGAGGTCTGGCTTAATGCCCCCCATAAACAGGCCCTCTCAGAGGGCTACAGGGAGACTTAGGAGGGACCCGGGCAACAAGGGCTGGGAGCCTGGTCTGACTGGGGGTCTCTCGGCTCCTCCCAGCTACCCCTGCCGCCCCGGCTTCGAGGTGCTAAAAGACTTCACTCTGACGCTGCCCCCTGGCAAGATCGTGGCCCTCGTGGGCCAGTCTGGGGGAGGTAAGGGAAGCCTTCTCTTCACCCTCTGGCTCTTCCTCTGGCAGCCACTCAGAGCAAGGTCGGGAGCAGTGAGCCCTGCACCCCCATGGTGTCCCTTCCTCCACCGCCACAGGGCCCTTTCCTGGGACAATCCCCAGAACCCCTGGCCTCCCTCCCTCTCACCCCACTTCCGCAGGAAAGACCACCACCTCCCTCTGTCACCCCAATTCTCCAGGAAAGACCACTGTGGCTTCCCTGCTGGAGCGCTTCTATGACCCCACGGCAGGCGTGGTGATGCTGGATGGGCGGGACCTGCGCACCCTTGACCCCTCCTGGCTCCGGGGCCAGGTCATTGGCTTCATCAGCCAGGTGCGAGGCCCTCAGTCCCACTGCCCATCCCCCTCCGGACCCTGCCCCTCTTGTCCTCAGGTACCTTTTCTTCCATCCCACCCTCACCATCCTTGCTGCTCTTGGGAGACCCTTGGCTTTCTCCACATGTACCCGGCTGTTGTCTGGGCAAGGCATCCCTTCCCAGGAACAGCCACAGCTCTGCCTGGTCTCCCAGAGCAGGGACGCTTTGTCCCGGCTTACAGCAGTCTACGCAGATGGGGCACCCCTGGGATTCTCTGCAAATCCTATAGCATCCAGGTCTAGGGGAGCCTGTGGTGGGGTTGCTTCTCCCTCTGCTTGAGGTGGCCCTGCCCAGCGGGGATCCCCCCTCCCCTTTGAGGGCTGTGAATGAAGAGAGAGGCCTGCTGTCCCGCCAGGGGGAGCGCCTGTGCCAGTGAAAGGCAAATGCAAGCCCCCGACCCCAGCGCCTGCTCTGCCAGTGCCTCCTGGTCCCACTCCTGGGGAGGGGTTCTGGGCGCTTGGTAGGAGGTCGACCTGTCCTTCCTTTCTGAGGGCCCTCTGCATCCGCACTTCACCTCTGACTCTGAACTTCTGATTCTTTAAGAGCTCCTAGTCTAATCCTCCAAAATGGCCTGTCTCCAATGTACGTGACAGCCGTTTGGGTTTCTGGGGCAAAGAGAATGTTTCTGTGGACTCTTATCTCCATAACCCCTCACCCGCAGGAGCCGGTCCTGTTTGGGACAACCATCATGGAGAACATCCGCTTTGGGAAGCCGGGAGCTTCTGATGAAGAGGTGTACGCAGCTGCCCAGGAGGCCAATGCCCACGAGTTCATCACCAGCTTCCCCGAGGGCTACAACACGGTTGTCGGTGGGTGCCAGGACAGGACCCCTGCTCGGGTCTGCAGGGAACCAGGCGGTGGGCACTGGGACACAGGATTCTGCAGGAGCAGTGAACAGCCTAGCGGGACTGAGGGGAGCAGGGACAGTTGAGGAGAAAGACGGTTGTGTCCGGGAAGACCAGAAAAGGGGACAGATGCTCTGTGGGGATGGGAGTCCAGGCCCATGTGGTTCAGAACCAGCAGACCAAGCAGTCCACAGAGATAAGACAGGCTCCAAGAGGAGCTGGAGAATGCAGCAAGGGCATATGGCAGTACCCTGGCCAGGAACACAGTGACACGTGGTGTTTGGAGTCCCCAGCAAGCCTAAAAGGCCGCCACTTCCCCAGACAGAACAGAAGGCACGAGGGCTGCCTCCTCTCCACTGCTCATCCCCCTTCATCTCTTGTGGCCTAACAGAAGACCCAGGGGGCCGCCTCCTCTCCACTCTCCGTCCCCATACCGGCTCCTGTTGCCTTCTTGTGCTTTTCTTCTCTACAGGCGGTTCTCATTCTAATCAGGGTGGCTGGATGGGCCCCAGGAGAGGGCTCTGGTGGTTCTGAACTAGGGGCACGCAGCTGGAACTGAGGGCTCAACTAGGGGCATGCAGCTGGCACTGCAGGGCTGACCTAGGGGCACGCAGCTGGCACTGCAGGGCTGACCTAGGGGCATGCAGCTGGCACTGCAGGGCTGACCTAGGGGCACGCAGCTGGCACTGAGGGCTGAACTAGGGGCACGCAGCTGGCACTGCAGGGCTGAACTAGGGGCATGCCGCTGGCATGGGGCTGACCTAGGGGTGCACAGCTGACATGGCAGGGCTGAACTAGGCATGCAGCCTGGCACTGCAGGGCAGCAGTTGACATGCAGAGCTCCCAGGTCTTCTCTTTCCAACCTTTGGGGCCTGTGTCTTGGCCAGGGTTTTGGCTCTGTTGCAGTGTTTAAGCACTTCTCAGGATGCAGAGATACCGGGGCTTCTCAGTTCTGGTCAGTCTGAGTCCAGCCTTCTGAGCTGTGGGGCCACTGTCCCCAGCCCAGCCTTGTGATCTCAATTGCTCCCCCAGCCGTGTTCATCCACCGTCTGGATACCAACTGTCCTCACTGGGTGCTCTCCCAAATCTCTCTTGGGTGGCTCTTTTCTTGTCTCTCTGATCTTAGTACTTCCTGCTCATTTGGGCCTTCTTGGGGCTATGCCCTTACTGACCTGTCACCTGCTGTCACCTTGAGGTCCTTTTTGGCTTCCAGGCTGCCACTTGTGCTGTCCTCTGTGGGCTTTGAATCCCACCTTCCTGGAGTCACTGGACCCCCAGGGCCCATGTTTGGGTGCTGGATGTTCCCCACAGCCGCAGAGACCCAGGAGGCTGGGAAGGTGGCTGGAGCTGCAGGCACAGTTCGGGGTGGGGGGTGAAAGGCAGGAGGGGGGTGCACAGTGCAGGGTGGGGGGGTAAGAGGCAGGAGGAGGGTACACAGTGCAGGGTGGTGGGGGTCAGAGGCGGGAGGAGGTTGTACAATTCAGGGTGGAGGTTGGAGGCAGGAGGAGTATGCATGGTGCTATGAAGGGCCCTCCAAGGATCTTAATGGGAGTTCAGGAAGGACCCGGTGCCCCTTTGTTGGCCACCCTCAAGTACACAGCTTCAGGCTCCTGCCCTGCCCATCCCTTCCCAGGTGAGAGGGGCACTACCCTGTCTGGGGGCCAGAAGCAGCGCCTGGCCATCGCCCGAGCCCTCATCAAGCAGCCCACGGTGCTGATACTGGACGAAGCCACCAGCGCGCTGGATGCGGAGTCTGAGCGGGTTGTGCAGGAGGCCCTGGACCGGGCCAGTGCAGGCCGCACGGTGCTGGTCATCGCTCACCGGCTCAGCACCGTCCGTGGGGCCCACCGCATCGTCGTCATGGCCGATGGCTGCGTCTGGGAGGTTAGTCGGCGGAGTGGCGTGGATCAGTGGGGCGATAACTTCATCACAGACAGTGGCACGATGCTGCCATGAGTTATATGAAGGGTGGCCTGCCCTAGGGCCTTGGGGGCTGCTCTGGAAGCAGCATCCCATGTGGAGTCAGGAGTTCCTGCATCAGCCAAGCCCTGGCCTTCAGGCCCTCAGTTTCTTCCTCTGTCCCCTGGGATAGCATCATCAGCTCCCAGGATCAAAAGGAAAAGTATTGGCCAGGTGCCTGTAATCCCAGCACTTTGAGAGGCCGAGGCAGAGGGATCTCTTGAGGCCAGCCTAGGCAGCGTAGTGGGACCCTGTCTCTACGAAATACCAAAGGGAAAAAACAGTCTTTGTGGTCTCATGCACCTATACTCTTAGCTACTCTGGAGGCTGAGGCAGGAGGATTACTTGAGCCCCAGAGGTTGAGGCTGCAGTGAACGATGATAATGCCACTGCACTCCTGCCTGGCATCAGAATGAGACTCTGTCTCAAAAAAAAAAAAAAAAAAGGGAAACATACTCAGAAAGAGTGTGGTCATGGGAGCAAGGAGCAGGGCTGGCTGCCCAGGGTCTGAGGTGCAGGAGAAGCAGCGGCAGGACCCTGTGCGGGAAGGCAGGAGCGGGACCCCTGAGGTTGTGTGGCATTGGTTCACAGCCATTCATTCAAGCCGAGGCTGAGGGGCTTGTGCAGGGAGTCGGGTCCTGAGTGGGAGCCTTGGGCTCTGTAAGGGGGACAGAGGGAATCATGTTTTTTTGTTTTTTTGTGGGGTTTTTGTGTGTGTGTGTGAATGGGGTCTCACTATATTGCCCAGGCAGGTCTCAAACTCCTGGGCTCAAGCTATCCTCCTACCTTTGCCTCCCTAAGAGCTGGGATTACAGGTGTGAGCCACAGTGCCCAGCTGGGAATCGTGTTCAGCTAAGTAGGCAAGTGGTCCTAACCAACGCAGCATGCCCATGGTGGCTCCTTTCAGATAGGGCATTGGTTTCAGAGTGTCCCCAGAAGGGGCACTGTCTTAGTGACCATGGGCCCAATGGCCGAGAGGTTCAGCCCTTCCAGGGTTCTGAAGTCTGCACACATCGAATCAACCATCTGTCCCCCTCCCTTCCGTCTTCCAGGCTGGGACCCATGAAGAACTCCTGAAGAAGGACGGGCTGTACGCTGAGCTCATCCGGAGGCAGGCCCTGGATGCCCCGAAGACAGCAGCCCCACCACCCAAGAAGCCAGAAGGCCCCGGAAGCTCCCAGCGCAAGTCCTGAGAAGAGCCCCCTGAGGTGTGGTCATTGCCAAGCATCGGTGCTAGGGCTGGGGCTCAGCCTGGGGGGAACTCACTGGGGACTGAGCTCCCAGGAGGGCCAGCATGTAGAGAGTCGCTGTGGCCGCTCCTGCTCACAATAAAGCCAGGGCAGGCCGAGCGGCTGGCAGGGGAGGCCCAACCCTCCCTTCCATCCCAAGTGCTGCTGGCTGCCTCCCTCCCACCAGAGTCCACCGGAGTCACTGGGCTGCACACGGGCAGAGACAGAGTTCCGAAAGGCGCCTCCTCTCTTCTCTCCCTTTGCCCACACCTCTCCAGACCTCTCAGAGATGCTCTGCCCAGTCTCCCCACCCCACCCGACAGCCTCAAGCTGGCCAGGCCTGCAGCACCAGGGAGTTTTTAAAAAACAGGGTCTGATATGGGCTGGGACTCACACCTAGGCTCTTCCCACACCCTTGCCAGGACCTCACTTCCCTAGACTGACTGCCTCGCTGGACCCTGGGAGAAGGAGCCTATCCCCTGGCTCACCCCAGAACCCACAGCCCCCATCTTCCAAACAACCTCCCTCTCTTCTCCCTGAACAGGGAACATAGTCCTGATGTCTAGATATCACCTCCCCTTCCCACCCCTGAAGGACACAGGCCTAACCAGGCCCAACTCTTGGGTCAGGGTAGGAGGGAAGAAGCACCAGCCTGCCTGGCTGTCTTCCGCTGGCCCTGCCCTGTGTGCCTGGAGTCTTTAACCCACTGAGATGGTGGACCCGCCTCCTTCTACACCAAGGACACCCAGCTCTGAAGGAGATAGGAGGGGCCAATGCCCACCTGGAGCTCTCAGCCTCCTACCCACAATGCTGACGAGTACAGAGCTCAGTGGAGCAGCTACTGCAGAATCCAGTACAGAATCGGTCCAGGAGAGTACGGCTATGGACAGGCCAGTCTCCACAGCAAGGTCTGGGAGGCGCACCTTAAAAGGGGAAGGCAGACAGCCTGAGTGACAGGTGCCTGTGGCCCTGAGACTGTGGATGAGGGCTAGGCTCCAGCTGGCTTCAGAGGGGCCTGGAAAGGCACACAAGTAGGGCCTTAGCTGAACTGGTACCCCAGGACCTCATGCCCCTGCCCTGCTGCGGATGCACCGGCCCTCCCCACCTCCTCGCTGCTGTCACTTCCTGCTGGGATCCTTCCCCTGTCCAGCCACATCAAGGCTGTGGGACTATACAGGGCCCTGCTCCCCTGAGCAGGGGAAGAGGGGGTGCCTGCCCTGTACCTTCACAGTCAGCCAGGCATTCGGGATTTATCTGTGCAAAGAAGGGCAATTAGTGCCCTCTTTCAGGTGTGGTGGCCGTTCGCTGATGGAGCAGCTGGTGCTGAGGAGGCCAGCCTGGAAGAGGCAGCAAGTGGCTCAAGTTGGTGTGCAGGAGCCAGAGTGGGACCCACAGGCTCTCGTGGGTATGATTTAGAACTAGGTGCTACTCGGGACAAGCCATCCAAAAACCCCAGGCCCGCATCCACCCTGATTTGATATCCCACTTCCTGACAGATCAGAGGCTGAAGGCCCAGAAGCAGAGCCTGGGGCTGGCTCCCGGCTGCTTCACAGCTAAACCCCTCCCTGGGGCAGCCCAGAGCAGGCCTCAGCTTCCTGGTGAGTCCATGAGCCCTGCTTGTTGGCCTGACCCATCCCACGCCAGGCAGCCAGCCAGCCAAGGCCTGCTTCACCCCCTCAGTCACCAGCCTCAGGCTGCCCAAGATGCCTCTGACACCAGATTCTAAGGCTTTCCTTACATCTGGGCAACTTCTCCAAATCCAGCCCTCCACCAGCCCACTAAAGGAGCAGTTAAACCCCACGGCTAGTCCAGCTGGAAGAGCTAGATTGCAAGAGCCATGCCATCTGCCTCACCTCGCCTCGGCCTTGGCTCCACAGTGGAGAGCAGGAGCCTAGCAGTGCTTGATGGGGAATGCCTGTTTTGAGAGTGTATGTGGGATAATCTACAGTAAAATACTTGCAAAGCACAGTGTGGTGCGGTGCTGTAACCATGGTACTCAGTCCTTGCAGAGTGTTTATTAATGAAGCACCTGCCATGTGCCACTGAGCCCACTATGGGGAATGAGGACAGCCCCTGCCCCCGTGAAGCTTGTGTCCTGTGGGCAGGACAGACAGGTGGCCCAGCAGCTGCAACATGGTGTGTGCACACATTTGGTTGGTAGAACCATGTTTCCACCACTCGGTCAAAAAAGTCCACCAAAGTCAGCCTGGCGGCCTCAGGTACTTTTTTGGGCAAAGATAGAATTGAAATAAATTTCAGTAATAAATTGGTGAGCCAGCTTTCCCAAAGGCCTATAGGGAATGTCGTCTAACGCTCAGATACATGGGGGCAGACAACCATTTAGCCAAATGCAGTGCGATACCGATGTGGACTGCCTGGCTCTCTGCAGGTCAGGGCTTCATCCCAGAACTGCACCTCTTCCCCAGGACCATGGGGCAGCACAACGTCCTCATCCCACTGCAGGTCAGCTGGCACTACCTCGCAAACAGTAACTGCCTTTGGAGGTCCCTCCCCAGCCTGTGGGAGCCTGCCCCGCCTCCAGCCCATCACCTCCCCTGGATCATTGGAAGCATCTTAGGTCAGATAATGCGCTGGCTTTGCCCTCTCCAGACTCACTGTCTCCCACCATGCAGGCTCAGGGCATGACAACTCCAGAAAAGCCCCATGCGAAGCAGACCTACTCCCACATTACTGGTGGGAGTCCAAAATGGCACGACTCCTGTGGGGGAAACTGTCGTCTATCAGATGACCAACCCGGTGGTCTTTTGGCCCAGCAGTCCTCCTGAGAGTTCACATCTGTGTTGATATGGCAACATTGTTTGTAATGGGAAGTGCTCCTCAGTGGTGGAGTCATTAAATGATGGTATATGCACGTAACAGGTGGTATGCAGCCATTTGGAAAAATGAAGCTTTTCCAGATCCTGGATATAGCATTGTAAGATGGGAAATCACAGGTTACCCATGTTGTGTCTGAGATGGCAGGTGGGGCACTTATGTACCCGGGAGGATGACGGGCTACTTGTGTGGTACTCCAGAGGGTGGCAGGTGAGGCGCCATGTTCTTTCTACCTGGGGTGGCAGGTGGGCCCGTAACCATTGTAGAGGCCAGCATCCTCAATGGAGGGCCTGAGTGTGGGGAGGTAGGCTCTGACTCCCTAGGGAGAGAGGGACACCTAGGAGACAGATGGACCCTGGAAGTGGGACCTAAAGAGGGCCCTGTGCATCCAGTGTAGGCTGAGATGCTGGGGGCATAGAAAGAAGAGATCTGCCGATGCCAGTGTTCCAACCACTTCCCAGCTTGGTCAAGAGCCAGCTCTGGTCTTTGTGAAGGAACAGATAATCGTGGGTGAAGCTAGAGGGAAGGCCAGAGAGGCGAAAGGAGGGAGGGGCTAGGCAGGGGTCAGCGACTGAGCCTCAGGGCTGGTATACAGGGGCTGCAGCTGGGAAGCTAGGGGGCCCCAAGGCACCTCCAGGCCCAGTTTACCTCTAGGCTTTCCTCATGCTTTCCCCAGGATCACTGCGGTTTCCTCCTGGCGCCTCTCATCTTGGACAGCCATGCCCCCCTCCAGGCTGTACTAATGGCTCAGCCTGGGGCCCCAGGGACCTCCCCTACCCACCAGACTGCTCTGCCAGCCCCCTTTCCCCCCTCGCTGCTGAAACCCAATCCTCTGCAGCAGCGCCGGCTCAGCACCACCTCAGCACGGCTCCCTCTGCGGCCCCTGCCTGCCACGGTCAGCTGCGCCCCACCTGGTCTGCTGCCGAGTCCCCAGCCCAGTGCCTAGCCCAGTGGACCCACTGCGTGTTCCTCGGGAAGGCTGAGCGGGATCGACGGGCCAGATCATCTCCTCCGACCCTGCCAGGCTAGTGCCTCCCTGCCTCCCAACCTCGGCTCTCTCCCACCCTCTCCTCGCCTGGCCCCCTGAATCCTATCTCAGCCCTCTGAGCCCCCTGACTGATCCTCTCTTGCTCCTTCCAAGCCTCTGTAGCTAGTCCTCCTCCTGAGTTTTGGCCATGAAGCCCACCTCAAGCCCGGAGGAGGCCCGGCGGCTGGCCTCGGACATCCGTGTGTTCGCCAGCAACTGCTCGATGCATGGGGTGGGCCACATCTTCGCACCAGGCAGCCTGAGCCTGCGCCGGGGGATGTGGGCAGTGGCCGTGGTCCTGTCAGTGGTCACCTTCCTCTACCAGGTGGCTGGGAGGGTGCGCTACTACAGGGAGTACCACCACCAGACTGCCCTGGACGAGCGAGAAAGCCACCAGCTCGTCTTCCCAGCTGTCACCCTGTGCAACATCAATCCACTGCGCCGCTCGCGCCTAACGCCCAATGACCTCCACTGGGCCGGGGCCGCGCTGCTGGGCCTGGACCCCGCAGAGCACGCCACCTTCCTGCGCTCCCTGGGCCGGCCCCCTGCCCCACCCGGCTTCATGCCCAGTCCCACCTTCGACATGGCACAACTCTATGACCGTGCTGGGCACTCCCTGGACGACATGCTGCTGGACTGTCGCTTCCGTGGTGAACCTTGTGGGCCTGAGAACTTCACCATGGTGAGCTGATCTCCCTACCTATCCTGCCAGGGACCCAGCCAGTCCCTACCCAGCACCCACAATCCCCTAGCCAGCATAGGCTCCCCCAAAGCCAGGGGATCTGTTCCTTCCTACCAGCCATGGATGCCACACCCCCCAGTGCCACTCTGTGCAGCCCAGGAAGCTGTGCTTCTTGGGGCTTTCTCTGTCTCCCAACCCGAAGGCAGCATGTGAGACCACACTGACCCCAGCTGGCCCTAGCCTGAGGTCTGTCCTGTGGAGACCCTGCTCCCGGGGCTGGGGATCCTCCCTTATGGGACCATTCTAGGGTGGAAGACTCCTGCCTCTGCCAGGAGGACAGGGCTTGCTTTCCCTCTGAATTTTCAACATACTGCCAACCCCAGAGGAGAGCCACAGCGGCCCATTTCCTTTTCCCCTAGTCCCCAGAGAAACACGGAAAAACCTGCAGGCTGTGCCCTGGGCTTTGGTAGGGGCTGGAAGGCAGAGGAGCTGGGGTGATGGGCTCCCAAGAGCGTCCTGCAACATGTACCCACGTGGAGTGTGGGGCTGGGGGCATTGAGATGTGGGCTTCAGCATTCAAAGAAGAGGCACAAACAGAGAGCATGAGGCAGGGCAAGGTCCCAAGACCATGTGCTTGCCTGGGGGAGACAGCGGTCACCCTGTCTTCCCACTCCAGGTCTTCACCCGGATGGGAAAGTGCTACACGTTTAACTCTGGCACCGATGGGGCAGAGCTCCTCACCACTATTAGAGGTGGCATAGGCAACGGGCTGGACCTCATGCTGGATGTGCAGCAGGACGAGTATCTACCCGTGTGGAAGGACGATGGTAGGGGGCACACGAACGAGGCTGGGGGAGGGCATGGATTGGGTGCAAAAGGCTAGGGGAAGGAGAGGAGGTGCCAGGGTGTTCCCCAGGACCTGTGAAAGGGGCTGGGCTGGCTCATCTCAGTCCTGGAGAGAGGGGTCTGCAGTGAGAGGTCTGATCTGGTTGGGGAGGAGACCTGACCACAGGGTCTCAGGCCTCACAGGCCCCTCCCCAACAGACGAGACCCCATTTGAGGTGGGGATCAAAGTGCAGATCCACAGCCAGGAGGAGCCACCCATCATCGACCAGCTGGGCTTGGGGGTATCCCCAGGTTTCCAGACCTTTATCTCTTGCCAGCAGCAGCAGGTACCCTCCTGTGTGCCTCCACACCCCCTCCTTCAAGCCCACACCAACTCGAACCCTAAACCCTCAGCTCCTCAGACCTGTCCACGGGCCTCTCCCCAGATGACCTCTCACATTCTCCAGGAAAGCCTCCTTAACCCTGTCCCCGCACAGCTGAGCTTCCTGCCACCGCCCTGGGGCGACTGCAGTTCAGTATCCCTGAACCCCAACTATGAGCCAGAGCCCTCTGATCCCCTGGGTTCCCCCAGCTCCAGCCCTCCCTATAGCCTAATGGGGTGTCGCCTGGTCTGTGAAACCCGCTACGTGGCTCGGAAGTGCGGCTGCCGAATGATGTACATGCCAGGTGAGGGGTTGGGGTCCACATACCGTGGCGAGCTGAGCCCAGGCAGCTGGGGCTGCTCCTCAAGCCGTCTCCCCGGCACCCACAGGCGGCGCGCCAGTGTGCAGCCCCCAGCAGTACAAGGACTGTGCCCACCCGGCCATAGGTAAGGGCGAGCCTCCCCCACCTCCCGTCCGCCCTGCTCGGCCCGGGCCCCTAACCCGCCGGGCAGGTGGCTGACGCGGCCCGGTGGCCCGCAGATGCCATGCTTCGCAAGGACGCGTGCACCTGCCCCAACCCGTGCGCCAGCACGCGCTACGCCAAGGAGCTCTCCATGGTGCGGATGCCGAGCCGCTCTGCCGCGCGCTTCCTATCCCGGAAGCTCAACCGCAGCGAGGCCTACATCGCGTGAGCGGCGCGGGGCGGGCGGGGTCCTCCAAGCCGGGGCCTCCCGACGGGGCGCAGCGGAGCGGGGCGGGCCGGAGCCCTCATGTGCACAGCCCGGGCGGAGGCAGCCTCTGCAGCCTCACTGGCTCTGGGGCTCCTGCTGGTTGCTTAACCTTTCTGGCACCGGGGGATACTGACGCCCCCTCCCAGGAGTCTGTTTCTTTCCTTTTTTAAAATCTTTACTTTTAAAAAATAGAGACAGAGGGGAAGGGGGGTGCGGGGAGCCGGTCTCGCTATGTTGTCCAGGCCACAGGCTGTCTCAAACCTCTAGCCTCAAGATCCTCCCTCCCCATCCTCCCAAAGTTCTGGGACTACAGGTGTGAGCCACCACCATGCCCGGCCCCTCCCAGGGTTCTTGAAAGGAGTGGGAGAACCCACAGCTGCTTCTTGCCAGCAGTGGGCACCAGGCAGTGGCCAGCCCACATCTGAGGCCTTTCTTGCCCTCAGGGAGAACGTGCTGGCCCTGGAGGTCTTCTTTGAGGCCCTCAACTATGAGACTGTGGAGCAGAAGAAGGCCTATGAGATGTCGGAGCTGCTAGGTATGTGTGCAAGGCCCCGAGGGCTGGGGAGGTGTGGGCAGGCAGGTGGCTGTGAGTTGACAGGTGACCCTGTCTCCACAGGTGACATTGGGGGCCAGATGGGGCTGTTCATTGGGGCCAGCCTGCTCACCATCCTCGAGATCCTAGACTACCTCTGTGAGGTGGGCCAGGGCCCTCACTGCAGGAGGCAGGAGGTGGGAGGTGGGAGGTGGGAATCGGGGCCCGTGGGATCAGGGGAAGGCATGCACCGGCCACCTCCCATCCTGCTTGCCTTCAGGTGTTCCAAGACAAGGTCCTGGGATATTTCTGGAACCGAAGGCACTCCCAAAGGCACTCCAGCACCAATCTGGTAACGGCCCCTCTTCTGGAGCCCTTGCCAGCTCCAAGGGTGCTAGGCCCCAGCCCTGAAGCCTAAGACCACCATCCCACCCCAGCTGAGGAAAAACAGAGGCAGGAGGGTGTGCAGTGATCATGACTGGTCCCTGGGAGGAGGACCTTTTCCCACTTCTGACCCTCTCCTCCTCCCACAGCTTCAGGAAGGGCTGGGCGGCCATCGAACCCAAGTTCCCCAACTCAGCTTGGGCCCCAGGTAACACATAATGGCCCCCTAAGATCAAGGGCGGAAGGGCAGCCAAGGAGGGCAGGGGCAGGCCCCGGGCAGTGGCTATGCCGGTTTCCACCCCAGCGCTGTGCTCTGTCCCCGAAGACCTCCCACCCCTCCCTGTGCTGTCACCAAGACTCTCGCGGCGTCCCACCGCACCTGCTACCTTGTCACTCGGCTCTAGACCTGCTGTCTGCGTCCCCGGAGCCCCGCCCTGGCATCCTGGACATGTCTAGCCTGCACGTAGCTTTTCCATCTTCACCCCAAATAAAGACCCAGTGCATCAGCCTCAGGTGTTCCTCTTACAGGCTGAGGTCAGCCCAACTCAACATCAGAAGTCTTCTGCCAGCCATCATCCAGCTGGACATGGCTTCAGAAATGTGGAGCTGGGCCCAGGAACCCCCATGAATCTCTAGGGTAGAATGGTAGTAAGAGGTTGTCCGTCATTTGCACCTCAGTCTGAGTTTACTAGACTGACATCGCAGAGAGGAGGGAGGACAGTTACCCACCAAGCCCCGGCTTAGCTATGAGGTGCAGAGGTGCAGAATCACAGTCAGCGATAAAGGTGTAACTGGAAGAACTCTCTGCCCAGAGCCCAGCGAGAAGAGGCAGGGAGAAGAAGGCGGGGGGTGGGGGGGAAGGAACACAGCTGTGTCCTGCCTTAGATCCTGACTCCTTTCCCACATTTGGGACCAAGTGCGGCACACAGCCTGACTCCAGACGAATAGTTCAGCCTCCCCAGCATCCCCACAAGAGCCAAAGGCCCCAGGCTTGAGACCATTGGGGTGGGCGTGGGGGGAGCCCTCCCTTTCCCTCCTGCCAGTAAGGACACACCAGGCCCCAGCCACAGGCCCAATCTCCCTCTCTTTCACTGTACCCCAAACCTTGGGAAGCTGACAAATAGGGAGTGAGGGGGTGTTCCTGAAAGAACCATATCTTTTGGGCTCTCCTGTGCCAGCCTGCAGGCCTGGGTATGGGGGATGGTGAGGGAGAGCCTAGGAGGTGCACCTGGGATATGCAGAACCACAGGGAGAGAGCCCCAGCCCTTTTCTCCCCACACCCTGGTGGAGAGCCCGTCCTTGCCTCCTTGCCCAGACAGACCGTGTCAGGCCCTCCTGGATGGAGGGAGGGAGGAAGGGGTGTGCAGTGACAGTGCTGCCCTGCCCCAGGAGTGAGGGGTGAGGGTCACAGCCTCTTAGAGTAGCAGAGCAAAGTGCTGTTTTTGAGCCGGAAGCAGGGTTAGAGCCAGCAGTACCAGAGCAGAGACGCCCGCCAGCCCGTGGCCCCTGCAGAGCCACTCAACCACCACATCAGCCAGACTGTGGGAAAGGAGCCAATTTATGAAATTAAATAAAGTCCACAAAGGGAGTGAGAAACTCAGGCTCAGGCACCCCACCCCGGCTGGGCCCAGCACAGCTGGAGCACAGTACACTGGGCACCCCCACCGTCCTGCCCCTCCCAAGAGGGGGCTTAAATAGGCCAGGCCCCAGCCTGGCGGCCAGAGGTCCCGGGGCCTAGGGTGGACAGAAGTCAGAGAAGTAGGGGTGCTGCAGGGCCTCTTCTGCTGAGATACGTTGGACAGGGTTACACTTCAGGAGGTTCTGGAGACGGAGGAAAGGCAGTGGCAGGTTCAGGACAGGTCACTGCCCAGAGCCTTGCCTTCCTGTAGTCCCTCTGGACAAGTGTCCTGCCCCACCCTCTACCCCTGGTCACCTACCTGCAGCAGGTCCCTCCCTGTGGCATTGAGCTTGGGCACGACATTCACCAGGGATGTTGTGGCCGGGTACATCGGGTAGGGCTGTGGAGAGGCAGGGAGGGTCAGACCAGGGGCAGGGGAGGGGTGGAGGCTGCCAGGAATGTGAAATAAGAGGGACCCTGATGAACCATGACCCCCATGACTCCCCATCACACCTTGTAGTCTGGCAGCTTGGTCATGGAGGGCCACTGCTCCTCAGTGGGCGTCCCCAGCAGCGTGTCCACAGGGTCAAGGATCACTCGGGGAAACGGCCACAGCTGCATCTTCAGGAACAGGGTGAGGGCTTCTTCCCCTCCTGGGACGGATTCCTCATACCCACCACCCTCTTCTCTCACCCTCCCTTTACCCTCCGGCTTGGGCTTGACAGAAGCAGCCACAGCATGTCACTCACACATCCAGCCGGTTCCCATGACAATCGCTAACTAGTCTAACCCACATGCTGATGGCCTAGTCCTGATGAACCAGTCCTGCCCACTCCCACAAAACGTGTCCCTGCTGCCTTGAGCTCCTTCACCCTGGCATCCATCTCTCACCTGGAGGGACATCTTCTTGACTTCGTCCCCCAGGGCACTCTGCCCATTCTACAAGTGGCACCTTCTCCAGTGTGCATCTGCTGTGACCATCAGGGCATCCAGGACTGCTCTCTCCCCTTGCCCTCAGGAGAAGCCCTATGGACCCCATCATCCCACCCCATATCATCACTGCCCTCGCCCATTGCGCTAAAACTCCATGGGCTCTCCCCTCCCAGAGGGCTCGAGGCAGAGGAAAATGGAAGGATATCGGAAGATCCTCTTCAACTGGTCATCAACGTCATTGCCGGGAAAGAGAGGCCGCCCAGCATTGGCCAGCTCTGGAGGAAAGAGAGGGGCTAAGATGTGTCATGTGAAGGAGCCCCCGTTCTGAGGGACCCCCTGACCTTCCAGTCCATCCCAGGGCCTCCTTCCCTTCCCCCAGCGGAGACCCTCCAGATCCTCTTTGTCAACCCTAACGGGAAAGAAGGTGCCTCCGCAGTGCCCCAGCACGTCACCTGCAAAGATGCAGCCGGCTGACCACATATCGATGGACGTGGAGTACAGCTTGGCCCCAAAGAGGACATCCGGTGGGCGGTACCACAGTGTAACCACCTGGAGGAGACCCCCCCGACAGGGACCTCCAACTTAGAGGGCTGGGGAGGAGGTTCAAGGAGGAGGCTCAGAATGGAGAGGAAAATAATGCTTTGGGTCCTGGGGTAGGAGCTGAGGGGCTCCCTCCCCCAACCCCGCATCCCAGCTCCCAGCTCACCTCAGCTGAGTAACAGCGGACAGGGATCCCAAAGGCTCGAGCCAGGCCGAAATCAGCCAATTTCAGCTCCCCATTCTGAGGGGGATGGAAAGGGAACATGGCAAAGGGCCTTTGAGCAGCTTTGGGGCAGCACAGGCTTCATCCTCCCAGTCCTGTCCCCCCAGGCCCTCCCCTTCCCCACCTTCTTCCCAAAAGTACCCTGTTGATTAGCAGGTTCTGGGGCTTCAGGTCCCTGTGCAGCACATTGCGGCTATGACAGAAGCCCAGGCCTTTTAGCAGCTGGAAGAGGAAGGACTGGGGGAAGAGCAAAAGCAGGGAGTCAGATGCCCTGAACATAACTGTGCCCAGCAACTGGCTGACTCCTCTCCTCACCCTGTGCTTCGCTATACCCCACCCACCTTTCAGCACCTGGCTCAGAGTGACACCATTCATTTGCCATCCAGGACCTGCTTTGTACTCTGCTAGTAGAGGGATAACATTTAACAAGCTGGCCCTGGTCCCCACCTTCCTGAACCATACAGCCTAATGGGCCTTGCCAGGTGGATCCTAGATCTGGCCTAGATCCCAGCCCATGATCCTCCCTTCCTGGCCGCATCTGAGTATGCACACCGTGACCATCCACATCAATATCATGGTGTAGTATCATTCAGGACTGGCTCTCCTGGAGCCTGGACCAAGGCATTTGATCTTGAGCCTAGAAGAGCACCTGGCACACAGTGAAGCATTCAGTAAGTATGTGTTGAATGAATGCGTGTATCTCCTTGAACCTCATTTTCTCATCTCTAGGGTGTAAACATCATTGATGTTACTGATGTCAACATCATATGATGTCCCTATAACACGCCAGATTGGTGTCTGAGTGCCACTGTGCAGGTCAAAGACAACCACGTGAAAATGCTCACTAGGAGGCCCCTGCGGGGCAGAAACAGGGTTTTCTCATCCTCTGACACCCTAGAGCGTGCCTGTTCAGGGCCCAAACTTGGTGCCCAAGGAGTGCTTACACTGAAGGCATACTTGGACCCCAGCCTGAGGGGTCGCCCAACACTCTCCTCACCTTTACAATCTCAGGATCGAGGTCACCATTGCAACTGTCAAAATACTTCTTCAAGTCCTAAAAAGGGATATGAGTGGAGGAATGGGACAGAGTTTAACCTCAGTCTGGGTCCCTATACCTTCCCAAGGCTACTGTCCCCCAAATCCCGCCTTTCACCTGGTCACAGAATTCGAAAACCAAAGTCAGCTTCTTGTCGCTGTGCAGGACATCATGAAGCCTAGGGCAAAAGAAGGGCTCAGCCAGGCAGGTCTTCCTGACAAATGTCCCAGGTCAGCCCCCACCTCCCCCAAGCAGCCACACCTCCCGCACACCTGACAATGTTCTTGTGCTTCAGCTCCTTGAGTAGGCAGATCTCCCGGAGGGCTGAACTCGGCACGCCCTGCATGTGTGAGGGGGCCGGGTGGGCAACAGTCAGATCCCACCCAGCCCAGGCCCTCAACCCCCTCCCCAGCCCCTATCCCAGTCCCCAGTCCTACCTCATCATCGTCATCCAGCCTCACCCGTTTCAGAGCCACGATCTCATGCGTCTCCCGGTTTTTGGCCTTGAACACTGTTCCGTAGGTGCCTAGGGGAAGGAGATCAGGGGTCAGGGAAGAGGATGGCCCACCCTTCCCTAACCCAGGAAATGCCTCCCGGGAGGTGAAGGCAGCGTCTGAGTGTGCAAGGGAAGGGATTCAGGGTGAAGGCAGGTGGGAGAGCTTTGTGAGTGAGGATGTGGCAGGTGGGGAGGGAGGAGAAGGTGCCTGCGGAGGCTCCAGGGGCTCGGCAGGAGAACGAGTGCGGCTGCCAGGGCAAGGATGTCTATAATGAAGGCAGTGCTCATTATAATGAAGGGTCTGGAAATAGTGAGGAGGGGTCTGGGAGAAGACTGAGGGTCTGCAGCAAGAACCGAGGCTGGGGGTCGGGGTGAGGTTGTCCAAGTGGTACTGAGGCTAGGGTGAGAAATTCAGGAAGTGTCGCGGTTGGAAGGTCGGCGGGTCTACTGGGAACGCTAATGTTGGAGTGGGAGCCTGCGGGAAATGCTAACACGGAAATGCTAACACGGAGAAGACTGGTGTCTGCATGGAGTGCTGAGCTCGGGGGGCCAGGGCTGCAGCCGCTGCTGAGGTCGGATCCTGTAGGTATTGCTGACGGTAAGAAAGCCAGGGCTGCAAGGAATGCCGAAGGGTCCGCAGAGGAGCTCTTGCAGGAACAT